AAGGGGAAGTCCGGTGAAAAATTTAAATTTCAGGGTCGGTAGAGTTTCGGGCGCTGAGTCGAATGGTGTTGGTCCCACGTGTCTCCGACAAAGCGTTCTCGAGATATTTCCGTTTGAAAAACTAAGTTTCGGGGGCTGCGCCATGACGTCATGCGGCCGCGCCACACCCTCCGCAACGTCATAGCGTGCAGCTAGGTCAAAAGGAGTGCGTGAAAGCAATAGTGTCAGTGCTATTTCAAAATTTGATTTGGCGACTGATATTAGGTGGTGCAAGCGACCCCAAGACCTAACTCCTTGTGAGAGTGAGGATGCAGCCATGGCTGACCTTCATGGGTTTGGTCGGGGGGTATTGTAGGGCTGAGAACCTCGGTATCCAGCTGAAGAAATGGCCGCGCGGGACGGTCAAGAGTGAGCGCTACTGAGTTTCCGACTGATGAAGAAGCAGTAGCTATTGCAGACGAGGCTGATATAATTATCAGATCGCTGAAGAGCAGGGTCGCCAAAATGGAGAAGAGTGATGCGAGTGCTCTAAATGTTGTTCCATACCGATTCGCTTAGACTCCAGTACTGCAGTAGCCTGCCACATGGTGATGTTTTGGTGCGAACTTGGCATATTTCGGACTACTCAATTGGAGAACAGTGCAGGCTCTTTGAACCATGGCCCGGGCACGACTCTTCGCTCGCAACGCTATGGAATCTGAAAGTTCTAGGTCCGGGAGCTGTTCGCTGTTTTGTCACTTGTCACGGTTGTGCACTCATCGCTGTAGCATAAAAATAATGAGGCCGGACTGGAGCGGAAAACTAAAATTTTCTTTCTCAAAGCACAACCACCGGCACCGGCAAGGAGAAACGCACGTTCTCTGACTACATGACTGTACGAGTGTAGTACTAGCATGTACTAGTACATGACACGTCCGTGTGTTGACTAGTTTTCTGAGTCTTGTTGTAGCGAGCTAGCCCAGCACGGCAGTGCGGGACTAGTTCCGTGTGTGATGAGTCTAGTTAGTAGTTTGTTGACTGCACTACACGTCTACAGCTAGCATGCACGCAGCGCATTGCTAGAGCCGTAGAGCTAGAGGCATGCTGACGGAAAAAGTCCAACTCGGAAACGGCTAAAATACGGTATAACCTCGAGGTTTACCGAGCTGAAAATCATAGGGTACATAGCGTTTGTAACACTGAATCGAATGGTCTTGGTCCGAAGAAGCTGCGACAAACGGTTCCCCAATCGAACGCGCTCCGAATATGGCCGTTTTGTACACAACTAGATGGTGTGGTTACCTCGCTGCACGCTGTGACGTCATCACCTGGATCTGGGTGAGGCGCGCTCAAATTCGCACATGTTCGATTGGGCGTATCTGACGAACCATAGGCCGCAGCCTCCTCGGACAAAGACCATTCGACTCAACGCCCCGAACTCTACGGACTGTGAAATTAATATTATTTAAATTTTTCACCGGACTTCCCCTTTAAGGAGGTTCGCGACGGTTAGCGCCATGTTGGATTTCCGAATTTTTTTCTGAAAAATAATGCCTTTCGGAGTGGAAAAATGGGACGCGATCATGCACAGAAAATAGTTTGACCATGACTTCGCAGTGCTCGAGCGCTCGAGTCGGGACAAGATTTGAGGAAGAAGCTCAGCCACTATAGTGGACTTGCGGATTTGTTTTGACATTGGCGGTTTTTGGATAGCTCGGTTCTCCTGCCGACGTGTCCTGGAGATGAAGACGCGGGAGAGTAATCCGTCACCCACGACGCGGCCTCTCATTCTGCGTACTGGACGATGCAAGAAGCCGAGGAAGGGGACGCTTCTCAAACGATCGATCGAGTTCCTGAAAAACGGAAAGGGCGATCTCCATCACTAACGCCACTGGCACTGGATTCGACTCCCGCGAAGAGGTCGTTCAGTGCCCCTCTTCACGGTCGACGAATCGTTCATCTCAGGTATCTGGCTGTGGGATTGTCTGCGTGCCAGAATCCTGGATGTGGCAAACCTCTGGCGCTCATTGATTGCGTTGAAGAGAAGAGGTACGACCTGGGCAGCGTACTTGTCATTCCGTGTCAGCAGTGTGGGATGGAGAATTTTATAGATACAGATAGCCCTGTAACTGCTCAACACCCTGGCCCCCGTGCTTCCACAAGCAACACCAAAGCTACTTTGGGTAAGTGCGTTTTTCAATCTCATAAGATTTACTCATGATATTTGGGAGTCATTGCCACCCTATGGCTATGGAAATGTATGAGCACACTGTATGCGCGGCGGCCGCGAGCGTGTGTGTGTTTGCATAGACCTGCATGTTTGTGCATGTGTGCACCATATGCATGTATGAACATGCACATGCATATGCGCTCATGTGGACGTACCCTCGCACACATACTATACACACGTGCATGACCGCTCCCAGGGCATGTTGGTGTTACATGTGTATGCGGGCATCTCCACTCATGCACATGAGTGTGCACATGCATGTGGGTGGGTACGCACTCGTGCGTGAATGTATGTGTGTGTACGCGCGCGTGTGTTCTATTGCGTGTGAGAGCATGCATGTGTGTGTGTGTGTGTGTGTGTGCGTGTGTGTGTGTGTGTGTGTGTGTGTGTGTGTGTGTGTATGTGTGCACGGATGTGTGTGTCGATGGTGTGCATTTTTGTGATTGGTGAACACTCTGATCCCTAAACCGCGATACCGGAGCTCCCAAGCTACAGCCTCAGATTGATTTATAGTTCATCGTTGGGAATGAGTTCGCTGCTCATGATGCTGTTGCGGATGTTGCGGCCCTAGCTGAAATTGTCGAAGCTCGCCCTGATGCCAGTATCCTGTAGCACTCTGTCACTTTTGCATCAGCATGTTCGGCGATGGAGTTTGCAGAACATCAGCAAAAGCGGCTGGCCACCCTTCAACCGTTGGTCCAAGCAACGTGCTTCTCTAAATCAGTTGCAGTGCGGGCAGCTGCCAGTGGGTTGGTGATGAAGCACTTTGTCTTGTCCTACAAACGAAGTGGTGAGCCAGCCATTTCCAGACTGATGAAGGAGCAAGTCGGAGGTAAGAAGCGGGTGACAGTCTCAAGGAAGATTATATTAGTGGTGGCTGAACACCTAGCGAAGAACCAACAGCAACCCAATTGTAAGGAACGCCCTAGCACAGTGCTTCACTTGTTTGTGCGCACCGTAAAATACCATCATTTTTGTCAGTGTGGGGACACGTTCTAGCTCGCATAGTTGAAGAACAAGAGGACTCAATGTTGTCTGATTCGTTCCAACATGTCAGCTTTCATTGTAGTTTGATATGGGGCTGTGCTAAGCGCTATCATAGCTACATGTACATGTATCACAACCAAGTACCAACAGGAGAGTAATCATGGAGAAAAGTACCTATCGATAATGCGTGCACCCAGGGTTTCCGGCAAATTTACTAGTTCAGCTATTCCATCCTTGTATTGTTCTGAACGCCGAGGGCTCTAGTGAGTTTATGCAACACCTATTAACAGCCAAAAATCCAATAAGTTATGACCAAAGCAGCAGCAGAGAAGTACAAGCAATATAGATACGTGAATTTACCAATTTTAGGCAAATTTTGACAGTTTTTTGGATTTTTCTCCAGAATATGCACGGTGACCCCTATTTTCGCCGCGGTAAACCTGTTCCAACCCACGTATAGAACGTGTTTGAAGTATCCACATATGGGGCAAACTCAAAAATAAGCTGCAAAAAATATTCAAAATTTCATTTTTTGCGTCTTTTTGTTCTTCTCCAGGAAATGACGACCTGGATCCCATCATCAACCAAAGTGTACATTTTTCGGTGTTGATATCATCTTAGTCAATACCTCGAACAGTCTGTAAAATTTTATGTCATATTTTCTGTCCTAACTGATGTTATGGTCGATTTCTCATCAATTTTGGGATTTTGTGTTATTTTGTGTCATCAAGGAAAATTGTGTTTTTGGCAAGACCTATTCGGGCAATTGAAAAACTGATGTTACTAAGCGAAAATATAAGGCTGTACCTATTCAAACCTGATGTCAGATTGGGCTGATGTTGAAATTAAATTTTTGGGGCTAACTGTCCCGAACCCCCTTAAATTTTGTAGTTTGATCCACCTGAGCCTGCTGAGGCAAGGGGTTGCGTTGGGGACCTCGGGAACCGTCCTCCTCCGCGAGTCACAAACAAACGTCGGATGGAGTTCAGCCAAACGGCTCATCCTGAGAGCATGACATAGTCATTGCTATGGTGTTCATAATTATCATGTCAATCCTCTCACTTCTGCCTCGCACTGAGAACACACCAGAAAGGTATGATTCGTTTCATTGTTCTCCCTTTTGCTGGTTCACGAGGCCTGCACTGTACAATCGATGCAAATTAAATTTTCCTCCGTCGCGGCGTCGGCCAAGTGAAAGGCAAAGACGTGAACAGGTATGCCATGCTGACAGTCATGTTGACCTGCTCATCAAAGACCTTCCTCCATCTGCTTGTCCAAACCCTTTCCCCAGCCTACTGACAATCATAGTCTGTCTAGTAGTAGTAGACTCTACCCTGCTTGCATCGTTTCATTCAACACTGGACTCCAAATGAAAAGTCCAAACGCTAGAACTACGCTACTCCTGCCGTGATCCAGTAGAGCATGTAAGGGTACTGGGTAGAGAGGCGTCAAAGTATAGAAGAACAGTTTCATATTTTGACGACTCCCTGGGTAGAAGCCGTCACTGACACTAGCAGTAGCATCACTGCGTCAGCAAAGACCAGCGTCCACGTGACGTGAGTCCACTGTCTGTAAACGCACCTGGGCCGCGCCATGGTATGGGGTGTTCGAGGCAAAGCATTGAAAGCAAGCCATGCGCCAACGCCACCACCAACGACGTTACGTAACCTGTCGTTTTTAACCGATGCACGCAACTCGCGACAGAGCTGTTCGCTGACATGACAACCAAGCCGGATTCACCGTGCAGCCTCGGCATGCAAACCTGGCATCGCATTCCTTCAAATCGCATTCCTTCAATGTTTTGTCTTCTACTTTTGAGGCGGCAGCATGGCCCGTCAACCAGGTGTTATTTGCGGCACGAGCGCTCCTGTCGAAGTTCTATTTTGTCCGGTTCGGCTAGCTATGGCCGGAGGAGACCGTGCCGTCAGCTGTGCGAGCCTAGAGGAGGCGGACAGCTGGTAAATAAATACCAGCGTTTGAAAATTCGTCTCTCTGTCCGAAGTGAAGGAAACGCTCTGTATTGGTGAACTGGGCACAAACTCGTCGTGTGGGTCAGACACGAGGATAGGAAAATGTCGTACGAACACCACCGGGAGGTGCAGATCCCAGCAGGGGCGAGACGGCGCTCCAGCCTAACCGTCACCCAGATCGATCTGCCCTCGCCCGAGAATGACTTTCCACCGGAGCCACCAAAGAATCGCCGTCGCTTCTCCGGTTCGCTGAGTGTGCCGGGACTGCCATTCTCGACGGGCTCGCTGAGGAAGTCTAGATCTGGATCAATGAACATTCCCAGAAGCACTTCTGCCACTCTCCAGGTCAATGACGCTTCGTTGCGTAAGACTCGATCTGGCTCACTACACCTGCCCACACAGGTCACGGAAAACAACAATCCCTACCTGCTGAAGCCGCGAAGGTCGATCGCCGGCGACTCGGGCGTGCGACGCCTGAGTGCGCAGGACCTGGCGCTGATACAGCGTGAAGTACTGCAGACCGGCCAGCGCCTGTCCGCCGCCGCCGTTCTGCAGCGGGCCGAGAGCTCGCCCAGCTCGTCCCCAGCAGCACAGCGTAGGCAGCAGGAAGAGGAGGGCAGAAGCAGCTTCTCCAGCGCAGGCAGCACTACTACTAGTGCATCGGGTTCGCGCTCCAATCTGGACGTTATGGATGGACCGGGCAGCGCATCAGGCACCCTGCGTGGCATCCGCAAGAGTATATCTGCAAACAGCTTTGCGTCGTCGGTGAGCCGATTCCTGGCCACGACGTTGATGGGATCCGAACTCGAGGAGGAAGTGAAATCCTTAGATGTGGAGACGCGTAAGGTCATGGATTACAACAGTGAGGAACAGTGTCGGAGGATGGCAGAGGATGGTGAGCTGATCATCTGGGATCCGGAGACGGGCGTCGGTGACATGATGGCGCCTGGCACGATGAAGAAAGAGTCGTTACGGCAGCTGGTCAAAGCTTTGGCGGAGTGGATCAACGACGTACTGCAGTACAGGCGTGTGGTGGTGCTGGACATCTTCCAGGACCTGTACGACGGGCAAGTCCTGGACGAGCTGATGGAGGTGTTGCTGGACGAGCACCGCGCTGCCACCACCGACTCGTTCTGCATAGCCGAGCGCCTTAAGAAGGAACGACTGCGCCGGGTCCTGGTCTGGATCGACAGCGAGCTGGGCCACGAGGCGGGGGGTGCGGACGAGGATGCGTGGAACGTGGAGAGGATCTGGCAGCAAGACATGATCGCCACGATGCACCTTCTCATCGCACTCAATCGCCATTTCACCGCTCAGGGAAAGGGCCCGGCCAGTCCGATTCCCGAGAACGTGGCGATCGAGGTTCATCGGAACGAGATCGACCCGATATCGCTGAGGCTTGTACACAAGAAGTGGCGAGAGCACTTAACGGGTATAGCCGGATTATCACTGGCGTCCACATCTCCATTGCCACGACAAGCCGATGTCTTCGATAAGTTCTTCGTCGAGGCGCCACAAAAGATCGTCGAAGCCGAACAGGTCCTGTTGAAGTTCGCTAACCTGCACCTCTGCAAACTGTCGTTTCAGCAGCCGCTCACGGATTTCCACGAGGACTTCCGCGACGGCGTTAGTATAGTGATGCTGTTGTCTATACTGGGTGGGTTCTGCATTCGATTTCACGAATTACGGTTGCCCGTAGGGAAGGACGACGATCGTGCTAACAACTTGCTGTTGGCATTTCGCCTGATGCGGGATGCGTCCATTGAGCATCCCGGAGTCGATCGCCCCGATGACATTATCCAGGGCTGCCCTAAGGCGACCATGCGCGTCCTATTTCCCATCTTCAAACTCTACAAGCATGCAGTGTAGAGTCGTGTGGAATGCTTGCCTCTGTCGCGTAGACACAGTGTGTGGCTCTGGAGTGTGTGGCTCTGGAGTGTGTGGCTCTGGTGCTACCTAACTGTACACAGTCTGTACATTCGGATACTGGTAAAATATTTTAGACACTACAAACACAGCTGGGCATTGTACTTGATCAGACTTGACTAGGACCACCCCAACCCGCTTGCCTTCCCAGGCAACCAAATCCCGATGCTCTCTTTTTAAAGCTCGATCCTACCTGACGGTCCATCATGACTTGAAGTTGTGTTTACGTTCACAGCCTGAGTGTGAGTTACTTGAAGCAATACAACTGCTACTTGACCTGACACTTACCCCAGCAATATTCCATTCTCTTTCCTTATATATTCAGCCATGATATGGGCACAGTGTCAGCTGGCACGGTGCTGTGCTGCACATGGCTGGGGTTGAGTACTGATCAACACCAGTTCAGCTAGATGTAACTCCGAAAAATGACTGAGTATTTCTGACTTAATTATCATCTACGGACATATCCGCTTTTTACCGCTTCCGTACCAGGAACGATTTACAAGTTATTGATAACGATGAGTCCGTTCTTTCACAATTATGCTAAAACTAATGCATCGGCTCCGGGTCATGCAAACCGGGCCACGGAAGCCATTGCAAGGGCAAAATGAAGCTTTCACACTGCATGCCTAATGTTCGCTATAACAAAATTAATATCCGCGAACAGTTGGCAACGCGAGTCACCTGCAGCTCGGGTCGAAATTTGGAGTTTTGACATGAAATTGCGCGTACCGTCGGAAATAGCGTGCATCTTAACCTCTCTATTCTGAAATGCCTACAACCCTACACAAAAATCACTGTGGGAGAAGTAAGCAGTGCCGAGTTGAAAGACTAGTGCAGTATATGACTTGAGAACGGAGATGTTGTTTTTCATCAGATTGACTCCGGAACTAATCACACGCGATTTTCTTCAAGAGGCATTGATTGTAAAGGAAGGCCAGCAATTCTGTGAATTTTCACGGATTTCGCCCGGCTCTGCCGATTTCAACGCTTTTCGAGCACTACCGGCGCGCGGTATCTGCAAAGGCCTATCCAAGGCCGTGCATGTGAACTAGCACAGTAATAGCAAATACGGCACACTGCATGACGTATGTAATCAAGCACGCTCAGAAGGTCATGATGGCTGAATCTTGCCCGAGCCTGCAGCCCAAGGGCCGTAGGCCCGAGGGCTGCAGGCAAGGGCAAGATTCAGCCATCATGACAGACAGAGCGTGCTTGATTTGATTTCTTACATCGCGAAGCAACATATTAGGGAAGGTCAAAGGTCGAAAGGTCGAAAAATTATTCCCGAAATGACATCAAACGGTCCGAACATTCCCGAAATGACGTCAAACGGTCCTGAAACTCCCGAAATGACGTCAAACGGTCCTGATGGCCTGATTATGCCCGCGGCGGGAAGATCGCCTATTGGCCATGGCCCCGGCAACGATCACGTGTCATGTAAGAATACACTGTCCAGACCGGGCGAAAATACAGGCGAAGATACGCAGCGCCCTCATCATGTCGAGCTCTGGAAAACAGGAGGTCTCGAACACCTCCTGCCTCTTCGGCCAGAATCGATTACGGGCTACCCTTAGCTTATAATCACAAACACGATCAAGACCAGAACATTGATACAACATTACTAGCACAAGCAGTAGAACAGAAAACAAAGCAGTGCAGCAAGGCGATGGAAAACAAAGCAGTGCAGCAAGGCGATGGAAAACAAAGCAGTGCAGCAAGGCGATGGAAAACAAAGCAGTGCAGCAAGGCGATGGAAAACAAAGCAGTGCAGCAAGGCGATGGAAAACAAAGCAGTGCAGCAAGGTTATGAAGCTCAACCAAAGGGACACGGGGGAAACACATGAATCCATGTATACACACAGGAACCAGCGGTAAGAGATAAAACAGGACAAACGGTCGCTACAATTGCCTAGCTCCACGGTAACAAGTAATGGCCAGGATGAATAACCAAGCCTAGCTAACTGTTATGGAGACATGATAACTTGAAGTTTGAAATACACACAACGTGGCGGCTTTTCTCAGTGTTGGGCATGAGAACCGGCAAATGCTAGGAAGGCGGTTGGGATTCAGAGCAAGAGTATGCCAACCAGGGAGTCGTGAAAACCTGGGCTTTACGACTCCCCGGTGCCAACCTGCAACGACCTGCTCTCTTTAGTCTGTGAGTCTAGTTCCAGAATGATTGCGAAGGGCCAATCTGGCAGCAGTTTAATGAGACGACTGTGTGCACTGCACAAAGACATGCAACAACGGTGGTACAGCACACTATGATCACAGTGAGCCCAAATCAGTGTATTATTTTGATTTAAGAGGTACCAAAGCCCAAAGGTGGTACGGTCTATACCACAGTGACCGTACCGTGTCCGACCGGCCACTGCACTGCACCACTGCACTGCACCACTGCACTGCACCACTGCACTGCACCACTGCACTGCACCACTGCACTGCACCACTGCACTGCACCACTGCACTGCACCACTGCACTGCACCACTGCACTGCACCACTGCACTGCACCACTGCACTGCACCACTGCACAGCGGCTGGAGGCACAACTACAGGGAGACGATCACAGTGCACGATGGCCGCCGTCGTCGCAGGAGATCACCAGTAAGGTAATCACACTGCGCCAGCGCTACCACAGCAGGGAACACCAGCGAGCACGAAGCAATGGCTACAATGCTGCGGTGAGAGCTGTCCGGAAGCAATGCGCCCAAACATTGTCATACCGTACGCCGCAAAACAATAGAAGAGAGCGAGCACAATCACGTACGTTGTACATCTGCTCAGTGATGATGCCTTACTGGGACACGGTCTCGCTTGCTCTAACGGCGGCAGTCAGCTGGCAAGCCAGCGTGTGTACCTATATGACCTGAAAGTACAGTGATACGTCTACAGCCATGTACACGGGACAAGGCTTGGCCATACTGTGTAAAGCATACTGCAGTGTTCAGTCTACCATGGGCATCACGGCAAGACAACGCCAAGGAGAAGCATATACGGTGCGTGAAGCAGTGGTTAAGATCGAACACACGTCGAGAGCAGTCCTCTCGAAGTTCTGGTGGCGGCTGCTGATGCGTGGATGGGTACAGCATGGTGTGTAGCGCGTCCACTGTACATATACCAACGTGGTGTGTAGCGCGCCCACTGTACCAACACGGTGCGGTGGCCTGAGTACAGAACAGCTTACATGCTACGCTGCGCTCCTTGGTTAGGGTCAATGAAGGATGGCGAAGCAGCAGGTAGCTCCGAGCGGCGTGATCGGCTGGCAGCATGCAGCAGAGTTTTTTTTTAAACGATCTTGAAGTAGCATATTCGTTCTGTCCATGATCGCCTGGAAATACACAGTGCTAGTAGTCGGTGTGGCTAGTCATCAAGTGCCATCGCATCGTCATCATCATCTTCCTGGTTGTTGTCGTCGTCGTCGTCAAACTGCAGCGGAATGGCCCCACCACCACCGGCAGCAAAACCTCCAGTCCTGGCGGGCGGCGGCTCGTTAGCCTCCGATGCCATGGCGTCGTAGCTCAGCTGCCAGTTGGGACTGGCCACGTTGCTGCTCTGGCCCTGCGGTGGATCCAGACTACCCATGCCTTCGAACAGGCGATCGTCGTCATCGAGATCGCTTCCTTCTTGGGCTCCATCTGCGCTCTGGTCGTGCCGTGGCTCCATACCACCCATGACCTCGTACATGTCACCTTCATTGATACGGGCTGCTGCCGCTGCTAGGTCTTCATCTAGATAGTAGTCGTCATCTGCACTGCCGTCCTCCTCCTCCTCATCTCCATCAGTGTACTCCTCTTGGTCATGATCACCGGCGTCTCCGTCGTCGTCCTCGTCGTTGTTTGTCGTGTCGTTGTGATCCTCATCTCCGCTGTCGGCGCCTCCCTCTTGCTTCAGGTACGCCGTCAGTTTCTGGTTGCTCACGTCGGTGCGTAGGCCGAAGATTGGCAGCTCGCTGTCGACGTTGTGGACTCTCTCCTCCTGCAGTGCAGGGAAAGCCAACACCACCATCATCATCATCAGCAGCAGCAGCAGTGACAACAGCAGCAGCAGCACATTTTTTCCTTTTGCAAGAATCGTGATTTTGTTGTTTCCTTTCTGGGGAACCGTGTGAAGGAGATTTGGTTTAGAGTTTGCAATTATTTTTTAACATTTTGGCTTCTTTTTTCTTTTCTTGTCTCTTCTATAAACATTGCTGTTGCATTTCACATTTTTATCAATCAATTTTGCTGTTCTCGTTTTTGAATTCTTTGCTCTCCCCGCATCCATATCATCATTGGTTTGTGCGTTCAATAAAACACGTTTTAGTAGCAGCAGCGACAGCAGGTCCACTGGATTGACACGAGCGTAACACACTTCGCTTGCACCAGAACGCCCGCCCCAAGCTCCCCGCCGCCTTTATTTTTGTCACTGAAAAAAAAGTACTATGATGTATTCGCATAAGATGCAATTGCACTCCAGCAGCTACCATACTTTCTATCCGTTGACCTTTTCTCATACAGTACTGTCGGGCGTTGAAGAACGGACCGCCGAAGAACGGCCAGGCTAGAATTTCACCACATTATTTTTAAGAACTGCCTAGGCTGGATTTTTGCAGATAAGAACGGAAACCGTAATGTACACTATAATGTACACTCAAGCGCATAACTCTGCATAAGTGTACATGTAAGACTGTACCATCGAATAAGAACGAAACCGCTGTGTTCGCTAAAAATAAGAACGGGCTAGAATAGAACCCTGACCCCCCCCCCCCCCCCCTCCCCCAGTTCTTCAGCGCCTGACTGTACTGTAGTGGATGATCAAGATGACTAGTACCGTAAAGTACCGTTGATCGGCCCCCTCTCTAATTCCCGCCCCCTGTCGATTTACTACCTGTGAAGCGATTTCGACGTATACAACGAAATACGATGTTGAACCGACGCTTGCACTGCTGTACACAATATGTGCCGATCCAGGATGAAAATGTGCACAATTTAGCACATCGAGTCTGATCTTTCAAGTTGTTGTACATCGTACTGCACTTTACAGCCTTGATCTAATTCCCGCCCCCTGCCGAAAAACCAGCTGGGAAGCGACATGGCGTGGGGGGATCAACGGTACTTTACGGTACAGCTGTTTGGAATGATCCATAGATTGCCAAATATAGTCTGTTCTTCTTCCCTCGTTTTTGATCGTGATGTAGTCCAAACTGACAATACCACAAGAAAACCTTCTTGGAAATACTAAACCGACCTCACCGACATGTGTGCGTATACTATAATTATAGTCATGGGTGCGCATTTTGTACATTTCTATCACTTCGAATGACACGCACGATGACCAAGGCGAAAACAAAGCATAGCGAGGGCACTGAGCTCTCCAGCTGTCTCGTTGGAAATTGTAAGTGCTTTTCAGTGTTGACACTCTGTACAGAGGTGGTGAATCACTCTTGCGAGGAGCATTACATCATTATATGACGTCACCTGAAATTCTGCCGGGACAGCATTGTATGCGGGAGTTGCACACTCTTCGGGTTGTGTGTTCTCTTGGCGACGAGGATTACTTTCCGCACCGCAGGTTCACATGACTCAAGACCTCCAGTCCGTGTGCAGTTTTGGACTGTGTGTGTGTGTGTGTGTGTGTTTGTGCCAGCTTGTTCGGTTGGTAGGTACACTTATGCCTGATTGTGTTGGGTCTGTTGCCAACAGGCTCGGCTGCTTGAAGGTGTAATGTTGTACCTGCCACCTTTGTTGGTTCCAGGGTTCATATACTTTCTATTTGAAGTATACATACCTGTTAACCATGGACTGCTTCTGGCTAGATGAACTCTTGTGTAATCAATGGTGCTAGTGAAGCTTTTATCAGATCCACTCTGATTTAGCCACTCACACTAGTAGCAAGTATTACCTTCACTGGGGGCAGGGGTAACTGCAGTTGGATCCCGGGACGGGTACCCTGATACCGTCAATCCTTTTTCTGCACCTTGTCCTCACCCACTTACTGAGGTGTGGTGAGCCCATAAGTGGGATCATTTTCAAGTCTACCCAGAGTTTTGGGGATTTCAGGGGTGTCGGCCGTTGGGCGGTTCAATAACCAATTGAGTCATCTTTCCAAGATTCCTTTTGAGTCTCTCTCCCCTCTCCCGGGGGGACTCACGTAACCAGTTTTGGCAGTGAGCAACAAGTACAGTGTGTGTTTGTGTGTGTGTGTGAAATGAAAAAGACCAAAAAGTAAGAGCCACTTCATAGCTGTGTGGTGTAGACCAGGCTAAATAGTGGCGGTCAATTCTTCAGCCTTGCAAGCTGTTGAATGGTGCAATCCCAGCACAAGGCTGCTATGGCTTCTGCTGTAGCATCGCTATCATCGCCTCCGGCGATGGGCGTCCAATGGTCCAATGGTGAGTGTGTGTTTGTGTGTGTGTGTGCGTGCATGTGTGTGTGTGTGTGTGTGTGTGTCTGTGTCAGCTAGTTCGGTTGGTGGGTACACTAATGCCTGATTGTGTTGGGTCTGTTGCCAACAGGCTCGGCTGCTTGAAGATGTATTGTTGTATCTGCCACCTTTGTTCGTTACACGGTTCATATACTTTCTATTACTAAGTAGAAGTATATATACCTGTTAACCATGGACTGCTTCTGGCTAGATTAACTCTTGTGTAATCAATGGTGCTAGTGACGCTTATAATTATCAGATCCACTCTGATTTAGCCACCCACACTACATGTATTACCTTCACTGGGAGCAGGGGTAACTGCAGTTGGATCCCGGGGCGGATACCCTGATGCCGTCAATCCTTTTTCTGCACCTTTTCCTCACCCACTTACTGAGGTGTGGTGAGCCCATGAGTGGGAATATTTGGAAGTCCACCCAGAGTTTTGGGGATTTCAGGGGTGTCTGCCGTTGGGCGGTTCAATAGCCAATTGAGTCATCTTTGCAAGATTCCTTTTGAGTCTCTCTCCCCTCTCCCGGGGAGATCCACGTGACCAGTTTTGGCAGTGAGCAACAAGTACAAGTACAAGTGTGTGTGTGTGTGTGTGTGTGTGTGGTGTGTGTGTGCGTGCTTGTGTGTGTGTGTGTGCGCGCGCGCGCGCGCGCGCGCGCGTGTATGCATGTGAGTGGTGGTGTGCGCGTGCGAGTGTGTGTGCGCACACGTGTTTGTCTGTGTGTGCATGTGCCTGTTTGTGTGTGTGTGTGAGTGCGTGTGCATGTGTATTGTGTATGCATGTGGGTTGTGGCGCACGCATGCGTGCTTGTGTGTGTGTGTGTGTGTGTGTGTGTGTGTGTGCGCGCGCGCGCGCGCGCGCGCAGGGATTTGCTACGATGCACCGTGCACTGTGCATCGCATTTCACGCGATGCAAAGAAGAATATCACTCAACGCACATCTGAGTGAGTTGTGACGTACAACTCTTGTCCACTGCTGTGCTTATGCCTTAGTTAGTCAGTCAAGTGTCAAGTCGTCGGTGGAATAGCGCGAGCTCCAGTGTGGGAGCAAACCCATTCCTAGGTGACTAAGCTATACAGTAATATTTCGGTACTGGGCAGGAAAACACGTGTTTGGCTTCTTCACTCGGAGCTCCCTCAGTGTACAAAATTAATTCAAATAAATTGATAATTCAAGAAATTCAGAGAAAAATAGAGTTGACACTCACAGCAATAACTACTTCATTCGCAGGCAGATACATGTACGCATGCTAGCTCTTCAAAACAGGAGAGAAACTACTATCGAGGAACATCATCTGGACACAAAAAAAGTCTTGAAAGTGTTTCCCTTACCCATTTTGTATACGATTTCTCCCTCTCGACTAGCTTGGTCTCTTCCGAGCGCTCTTTCTCCACTTCTCTTCCAAGATAAGGCGAAGGCCTGGTCTTGTACGACTGCCGGTGAATGTTGTCAAAAAACACTGAAGACATTGCTGAAGATTACTCTGCTGCTCGACGTCTTTAACTTTGTAACTAGTCTCTACACGACGACAAGTCCAACAAGCATCGCATTCCGATCCGAGATTCGCGAGAACTCTGCTGTCGATTCCGATATCGGGTGCTTCGTTTTTGTTTTTTGAATTTTCCGCCGCACCACGTGGGTCGCATCAGTTTTCTCAGGGATGTTTCGTGATACGACGTGGATAACCAGAGTGTTGTACATCTAACCTCGTTTCAGATCGAATTTTCCTTTCGTTTCTGGGTTGAATATTTGAAAAGCATTGAATGAGATTGACGAGTACGAGTATTATTGCAATAGTTTACATTCGTGTTTTATCATTTCCTGATGCCAAGCCATCCAAGAACATTTCTTTCAACACACGAGTAGATCTACTGGGTGTCTGTCCGCCAATCTAAATGCTGCGACTTCACAACCATGGTGAGTTCTTGAAATTAGCTTGGCCCAAGTCAAATTTTGTTTTGATTGAAAACAATTTGAACACATTTCAGGGAGGAATTTGAACTTCTTCCATAGATACAATGCAGTCATTGGTCCTAAGCAATAGAACTGTTCTAAATTGTCACAATTGGTCTATTTCTTGACGTTGTGCTCAATATCTCCGAAATTCCCCGAATCGCACGAGTATATTGTAGAGAATTTTGTTGAATTTGAAAATTCCATAATAAAAATTATGACAAAGTCATGTCCGCTGTACAGGTATCGGTGCTGTGCATTTGAAGCAACTTGGAATGATCCATACGGGCACGGGCACATGATATACCATGATGTACATGTAGTTGGTAGTGAATGGCATCATGATCAGAAGATCAGAATAGTCTAGACAGTACTGTATGCACCAGGACCGCCGGAAGCAGCAGTTTTTGATTAGTCCGGGGCCGGTCGATAGTATCATGGCCTTTCATACTTTTGCCACTGTGTGTGGTATGGTGGGCACACAGCCCTCCACAGTAGGAAACATGTGTTGTTGACCGAAAAGTTGGTCTGGTAATAACCTGACCAACCGGACTGGTTCCAGTGGGCCTGGTATACACAATGTCATGTACAGTCAGACCTCGCTTAACCACACACGTCTGTTTTCCACAAAAGATATCGGATAGGCGAGGGAACTGAATACTGTAATCGAACACACATACTGTATGTACGTATGACATATGCTGTAAATTGGTAACCAGCAATTTACTTCCGGATGGCGAGGGGTCCGGACAAAAGAGGACCGGATAAACGAGGTCTGACTGTACTCTGCGCGAATCGACACTGATATCTCGTTGTTATCGATCGGATCTTTCTTTTTGTTTCTACACAGCACAACACTGTGCAAGGACTCTGTGCAGATCACCCAAGTCATGCCCCAGCAGTACAGGCAGCAGCAGCAGTGCACCCAGATTCACTCAACACCGCACCGTCTTCTGGACGGAGTTCAAACCGAAGCGCACCGCCCGTGCTGTAGTGTCCGACTGGCAGTCCTCGGCGTCCCGTGTGCTGCATCAGCTTCAGGAGCAGGTTGACTCGGCGACGGGCCTGGCCAAGGTGGAGCAGGCGCAGCGGGACATTCAGCAACGACAGGACTCCGTTAACAAGCTCCGCATCGACGTGCGACGACAGCAGCGCGAGCTGGAGGAAGTACTGACGTCTCTAAACTCGGTGCGATCCCAACTGGAGCCAATCTCGGCACGTGACCCTCGCTACTTAGCGTTGACGACAAAACTTGTGGAGCTGCTCGAGAAAGAAGCAGCGTGTGCTGCCGGCGTCAAGCAAGCCGAGGAAGCAGAGCGCATGGCGTACACGTTGCTAACACAGCTAATCGTCGAGTCGCACATGCTGGAACGCACATCGACGGACCGCATGAAGGCCTGGGGCCTGGTGCTCTCCATTGCCGGCACCATCGTCGGCTTTCTCAGCTCGTCGCTTATGTACCGGCGGCGGCAACGCGAGATCAAGACATTGATAGCACAGACAGATCAGAGTATTGGCTGCCTGGCGCCACAGCTGGACGAAATCAACAGCAGCGTCGCGGGGCAGCAGTCCAAGTGGGACGAGCTCAAGACCACCATGCTGGCCATGCTCGAGGAACAGACGGACGCCATCGCACGCCTGCTCCTGCAGCAGAAACTCGGAGAGCTGCTTAGCGACGACGCGCCCGGCGGTGCGTCGGGAAGCCCGGAGTTTGGCAGCCGCACGCTGTCCGAAGAGCAAGCACTGAAGCTGGGTGGCCGGATCAGTGAGGAGGTGAGCAGGCACGTTCACCACATCTTACACCAACACATGTGCAAGATGCAGGACGAGTTTGATGCGGTCAAGTCACAAGTGAGCACCAACTCTGAGCGAGTTGTCGAGACCGCTGCTGCTACTGCCGGTGGACCCGTTCCAGAGTCAGCGTCCGGCGGAAGTGGTTCCACGGACAGCACAGCTCCGACCACTGCTTTATCAAGGGATGTTACACTGTCACAGAAACTGGAGCAGAGTGAGAACATGTTCTTAGAACTGCTGACGATCTCAATCGGGCTGGCGTTAATAGTGACCTTGCACTCGGTGGCAGGTATTTAGCAGTGCTGAGGCCATGCTCTCTATGACATCATCACTGTGGCCATACTGTGTATGACATCACCATTGTGGTATGACACCACCATGACATCATCACGGCCTTTCTCTATACCACACCGGCAACTGACCGATGTGGTTCCAACCATGGCACCCTGGTTCGTGTGTGTCGGGCACTGTGCGGATCATTTATGCCCGTCTGGCGGATGGCGGTACACCACTGGTCACTGCAAGCGTACACAAGATCATGCAAGCCCGTACTGACCGACACGTCAACGTTCACACGCTTTCCATGCCTTCATCACTGTATGACTGGGTGGGATACAGTGTGTAACCGAGTCGGCATCTTCACAAGCCAGTTGCTCTGCAGTCTATTTGCTGGTTATACTGCATAGTGGACTGCTGCATTGTGAATGCCAGGTGCACAGCATTGCAGCGCTAAACTATGAACAGTCGTTTCCAATCACGAGGCGATTGTATCCTGCTTCAGCGCACACTGGCACTGTGCTATTCTGAGTGAATCATGCTGAAGTAACAATCAAGCATGGCGATCAATCACACTGCAAATGGTCGCGAACCTGCGAGCAGCGCGCGCTTGGCCCATGCTAGGAATCTCTATTGCTGCATCAGCAGTATGCCAAGCCTCAGCCCTCTTGCTTGGCCATTGCCCCCAGCCATGCCAATACGCCAAGGTGCAGATGGCATGCGTGTCTCTTTGCAGCCCCGTGACATACTCTGAATATATGTCGCCGTTTGTTTCATGGATACACCATAAAATTGATTTTTGATTTTCTGCTATACAGTAGCAGCAAATATGATTTCCCTCAGCTGGTCTGAGTAACTTAATCACGAATCCATAATAATAATAACATGCCACCACGTGTTGTATTGTGTGCGTGCGCCTAATGCAGTGGTCCTTTTTTAATCCGGCGTCATTTGTGCTACGGAAATTCTGCTGGTTTAGGGAGGGTGCTGGATTAACAAATCTGACTTACTGTCGCACAATATACATGAAAAGGACATTTTGGTTACTGAAAGTTATGCGGGTTTAAAAAGTGTCGGATTATAGAGGACTGTATTTAGAACTTCAATAGCATGGGTATTTATTTTATTTTACGGGCATAGTTGGGTACTTTTGTTCCACGTGAACTTCACAGTTGATTGGGTAAGAAAATCATCGAGTCATCCAATCGAGCACTACTAGTACTGTAGTAGATAGTACATGATGTACCCATGTGTTCATTATTAATGTACATGTGTCTTCATTCGTTGACTGCCCTGAGTGTGATTCGTCTGGAGAGCGATAGGACTCTAACGTGATACAGAACTGTCGGGCGCCGAAGAAGGACCAGGCTAGAATTTCATCAAGCACAGCATACCAATGTGTTCACGCTGACTCAACTGCACATAGACGAAGCTCATGCATAACGGTCCAGCTAGGCTGCCCCCCCCCCCCCCCCAACAGTACTCTGTAGGCCGCAGGCAGTCATACCTGACCAAACCTGGCTTGGGTATGACTCACCGATCAGCTGGCATCACAGACACAGATCCGGCTAGGATGAGTTGCAGGCAACGATAATGAGTCTGCCAAGCCAGCATTCACTCTCACAGAACCCAAAGCTCATCACATGCCATGTCCTACCCCCTCACGCACGCAGCGGCGGATCCAGAGATCTCTACAGGGGATGTCCAGTTTAGCCAAAACTGAATAGCTGATACAGGCACACGTACAATCATGTACATGCATCATTACGGTTTCCAGTAGTACACAACTCCCCTGGATCCGCAACTGGCATTCAAACTCGGTCTGGTCTCAACTTGCAAATCAGCAATGATCTGAGGATAGAGTTGTCGGTTGAAAAGATGTTAACATGATGTATTGCATAGTTTCTAATGAAGATAGAAAAAACCCAGAACGTTAGAAATGAGGACACAAGCAGGCGTCACCCGGCAGAAGAGGTTGACAAGCACGGGTAGGCTGTCCAGGAAGCTTTGAACACAAGCTACCGCTAACGCAGAGTGCAGGGAAACTCAAAACCCGACGCACAAGAAGCAGAGAAAAAGCAGCCCAACGGTGGTGAGAGGAGTGGAACAATTGAACTAGCAGCACCAAACTCAAGAACAGCACAGCACAGCATTCTTGCCCGCAAGCGGAAGAGCGACAGGGCAATGGGTACAGGCATGGGCTGGTCGGACACTGCGCACACAGTCAGACAAACTGACACGGCAGACTACGCAGTACCAAAGTCACCGCGAGCCTGCTTGTCCTGGAAGAACAAACGCACATCAGCACATACACGCACGCACGCACACACACACATCAGCTAAGTTCACACATGGTCAACGCGCATTCTAACAAAATCCCCTGCCACCATCAACACAACCGTATGAACCAATCATGTATGCACACTTTAAAAAGTGTGCATGACCGTGTCTTCATGAGTTGTGTATGTGACATGATGAAAGTGTGTGATACCAAGCTGGGTAGTAGCCAGAGGGCTTGTGCCACGTGAGTCTAAGTCTAGGAGAGGGACACACATGCATTCACACACTCACACAGACCCCCCCCCCCCACCACATGCACCCCCCCCCCCCCACCACACACACACACGCACGCCTCAGACCTGCCCATCGCGGAAGTGATGATAGCGAACAGCTATGTTTAAAATAGACATAGCAACGTGTGCTGGGATTACACCATTCAACAGTTTGCAAGGCTGATGAATTGACCGCCACTAATTTTAGCCTGGTATCCACCACACAGCTGATTGAAGTGGCTTTTTCTGGCCAGTGGGTCCCCACGCACACCCACACAGAAGCCGTCCACATACCTGTGATTCTGTCCACGCCTTGCTGAGGTTTCTCTTCATGTCGTCATCTCCGTCATCGTACATCTTCTTCAGCATGTTCATGAGGCCGGCGGATGGATCGTCGGACGGTGTTTTCCCTACATCAGCCATCTTAGACTTTCTGTCAAGAGACGGCAATCAAGTATCAGAGCCAACACAAACAGCAAAGCAATCGAATGGTAAATGGCACAGTAACGCTTCAACAGAAAGTACAGTTGTGCTCGGCGAAGTCCGACCCAAAGTGCATACAGTCGTCCCTCTCCAATCCAGCACTTTATAAACCAGCACCCTCGATAAACCGGCACAATTTTCAGTAGCCAAAATGTCCCCTTCATGCACATTGCAGCAGTATATCTGATTTGTTAATCCAGCACCCTCCCTAATCCAGCAGATTGTCCGTGGCACAAATGGTGCCGGATTATAGAGGGACCACTGTACTGGTATTTGGCGCCCTCAACTTGCACGGCCATTGACGCCCTGGAAGTGGTACTAATGTGGCTGGACGTACACATGTACAAATACAGTGGTGTAATCGGAACTGGTCCAGGGCGCCAAGTTTGCACTTTGGGTCGGATATCAGTGCAAGCGCAACTGTACAAATCAAATGATTACAGTCAAAAGCGCTTACACGCAGTACACAGCGTAAGGCGGAATACTACACATGTGTAATAGTACATATCAGACAATCGCTTGACCATCACGAGGGTAACGCTTACATTTACCCCCCCCCCCCCCCCCCCCTCTGGACAGCATTGCTTCTGCTGTTCCAAAGAGCCTCAACATTAATGATAGCTTGCATGCCGTCCTACCGGTAGGACCCAAGAAATCGCGCTACAAAAGTGATTTTGGTTGAGAAATTTCTTGAAACAATTGTTGAGATGAGGTCTTTGTCAGGCAAAGTAATGGCGCAAAAATGCAAGACTATGTCCAGTGCATTGCATACGCGCAATTTTATCAATTGTCAAAATGGCCGCACATACTCTTGTCGGAGCGCTAGCAACTCTGTCCAAAGTGAATTTTGACCATGGCACATCAATCGTGGTGAGGTACTAATGTTTTTATTAGTCTGCCAAGGCAGTGGAATGCATAATTCCATACACCGTTTCCATGGTTACCATTTGCTGTTACCATGGAATTTCGTACTATGCCTTGTGCGATCACGTCTAAAATTTGTGGACTCCTTCATTAGCCCCTGAGCAACAGTTTAGGGTCAAGTTTTAGGTCAATGTTAGAACAGAGGCCATGCAGCATGTCTGTGTATGATGGTCCTACCGGTAGGTCCTACCGGTAGGACCGAGGTCTATGCAAGCTATCACTAGGGAGGTTCTGCTCTACGTTTTGGGAACGCGACGCAAAGAATCACGCGAACTTTCTTCGCGTTCCCGTAACGTAAAGAAATGCTGTTCTGCTCTACGTTTCACCTAGAGAAGTCACGTGGAATGTGTACTGGGAATTTCCCCTTCCATATTTGGCAGTTTTCTGCATCCAGTTGATCGATACCCAGCAAATCCGTACGCATTTTCTCTGCGTGTGCCACAACGTAGAGAACCTCATCTCCGCGTAGAAATCTGGAGCCAAAACACGCGAAGCCGTAGACTCTAACCCAGACACCTGCTCTCTACGTGATTTCTCTACGTTTCACGTATAGCAGAACCTCTCTATTAACAATCTGGACTCCCACTTTGTTGACAAAGAAAGAGTGAATGCCGGAAAAATTTCACGGTTCGCACGAGACTCGGCTGGAGGCCGAGTCTTTCGCATCCGTAGGGACGCCACCACCCTCTGGGATCAAGGCGCAAATGCAGCTCCTAAAGCGGTGGGAGGTGAGTAGATCAGACCCACCACCAAGTGGTCAAAGACCGAAAATCCCATTCCTGGAAAACCGAAAACTAAGTCTCAAAATGCTGGATCCCCACCACCACTTACTTTTTTTCTTCTGTTTTCTTTTCCTTAGCGGTCAGGTGACTCCAGCTGCCTGGTGTAGCCTTGTGTAAAGTCACCTGCACGCTGGTGCGGCGAATCTGTCAAAACACCATAGTAGTGGATGCACACAGTCACACACGCACACACACACACACACGCACGCACACACACACACACACAGTTGCACACAGTCACATACACAAAAAAACGAGGAGCTGAACTGTCATCCGTGAAGCACGATCACACGAGTGGTGTTTCCCCAGCATTGGTCAACCTCAGCGGCGTAGAGAGAGAGAGAGAGAGAGAGAGAGAGAGAGAGAGAGATAGAGAGAGAGAGAGAATCAAAATGGAGACCAACTGCCTGGGTACAAACCTTGAAAGTAGACTTCTCTGGTACGATTTCATCACCGAGCGTAACGGCCAGTGTGTGATTCTTGCCATTCAAGTTTTCGACAAGAAGAGAGAACGACCTGGACACAAGTGGCAGAAATAGGTACACATCATAAGCACACAAACATACAAACACACACACACACACACATACACACACACACACACACACACACACACACACACACACATACTTGTTGCTCACTGCCAAAACTGGTCACGTGGGTCTCCCCGGGAGAGGGGAGAGAGACTCAAAAGGACTCTTGGAAAGATGACTCAACTGGCTATTGAACCGCCCAACGGCCGACACCCCCTGAAATCCCCAAAACTCTGGGTGGGCTTGAAAATGATCCCACTTATGGGCTCACCACACCTCAGTAAGTGGTTGAGGACAAGGTGCAGAAAACACACACACACACACACACACACACACTACTACTACTATTGACAGCTGCCAGAAATGGCCACGCCGCTCCCCAAAGGGAGGTACTGTCAGAGAGGTTAGGGGAGAGGTAGGCAGTGCTTCAAATGGCGCTCCAGGTCCTGTCGCCTCCGAAACTGGCGCTGACTACAGACTCGGCAATGATGTTCAAAGTGCTGGCGATCAGTCACTGTAGGGCGCTTCGGGCGGGGTCCACAGCGATGGCGCTTGAGGCCAGCAGTAGACTTGAAAGTACGCTGGCAGGCAGTACACACCGGGACCTCGGCAACAGGAGGAGCATCAAAAGGCGGTCGGTCGTCACAGTTGTCACTCCCTAGGCACTTATGCACTGCAAGCCCACCCCTGCTCCGGAGCCATCTACTGCAGGCAGGACACTGTACCGACCCGGGCTGCTGTGATACGGGGAGCTGTCGGACTGCTGTGCACTTGTGCCGGGCCATGTCGGCACGCCGACGAAACAGGCGGCCGCAAACGTGGCACACAATCGTCTTCGGGGCAGGCTCCTTCACCCCCGCTGCTGCCGACACTATGTCACGCCACTCTCCGCGATCATTGGCTGATGGGAACCAATTGTGCACACCGGCCACAGTCAGATCAGCCTGGACAACGTCCTTCCAGCGATGTCGGGGGCCGCAAAACGGGCGGGTTCGTGGAAGATGAGCGAAGAGCAACTGCTTGGGTAACCGATTGTTATCAAGCCGAGCTAGGTGCCCAAGCCACTCCAAGCGTCTTCGCTGTACCATGCACGACAGTGGAGTAGGGTCACCCCACTGTGTGCGTAGTTGCTCCGATGTAATGTGCTGCTCCCACTGGCGGCCGCGCGAAATGCCAAGGATTGACCGTAGGTTGGCGTGATGGAACCTGTCCAGCTTGTCCAAGTCCGACTTCAATGGGGTCCAACACTCCGAGCCATACAAAACCGTGGTGAGAACACATACCACATACAAATGCCGTCGAGTAGGCAGGTTCAGACTCTGATCATGTAAAATCCGCCGAAGACAGCCAAAGGCCCTGGCACCCTTCGCAAGGCGGCTCTGGACATCGGCATGAGCTCGCGAATCCGGAGTTATAACAGATCCAAGATAGGGGAAGGAGGTAACAGCTTCAACCCTTTCATTGCCAATTGCCAGATCGGAACAATCAGCGGCAGCGACTCCATAGCCCGCGACCAGTAGCTTAGTCTTCGTCATGCTGACCGTGAGGCCAAAGCTGGATGCCACATCGCAGAAGGCGGACAGGGACAGGTCGGCTGCAGCACGAGTTGTTGCGAGTAGGACGGCGTCATCGGCAAACTCAAAATCATCAGCATGACCAGTCTGAGACTGTCGACGTCGCCCAGCTGCACGGGGAAACAACTGTCCATTAATCAAGAAGCTGAAATCCACACCAGACTCGATGCCGCGCTCCCTGAGAACAGACCTCCACCGCTCCATCACCAATCCGAAATACAGGTTGAACAGCACAGGAGCCATGACACACCCCTGCCGCAAACCATTTTGTACAGAGATCGGATCGGTACAACCACCAGCAACACGAACAGACGCCAACATGTCCGTATGGAACGACTTCACGAGAGCCACAGCCTGAGGGGGGACACCGAGCCGAAGCAATGCCTGCCACAGAGCCTCACGAGGCACAGAGTCGTATGCTTTGCGGAGGTCCACAAAGACGCAAAACAGCTTCGATCTATGCTCATATGATTTCTCTACCAGTTGGCGGACAGAGAAGATGGCATCAGCACAACCACGGTTTCGCCGGAACCCACACTGCGACTCCGGTAGCTCATCCTCAGCGAGCACTTGCAGCCGATTCTGCACGACCCTAGCAACTAGCTTCCCCACAACCTCCAGCAACGCAATTCCTCGCCAGTTGTCGCAGCGAGAAAGGTCACCCTTCTTAGGTATGGGGATGAGCACTGCATCACGCCAGTCCTGCGGTACGTAACCCTCCGACCAGACAGATTGAAGCAGGTCCAGAAGGAGTGGGTGGAGGACGGGCACACCAGCCTTCAACAGTTCAGGCACGATCTGCGACATGCCACCAGCCTTGCCGTTCTTCAGATGTCTCAGGGCATGGGTCAACTCCTCTCCCGACGGTGGCTGCGTTAGCGAGTGCATGATCTCCCGCTGGGGGATTTGCTGGAATACCTCTGCATCGTAAGTACTGCAGACATTCAAAACACCTGAGAAGTGCCCGTGCCATGTGTCCCTCTGCTCTTGCACAGATCCACAGACGTCTCCCCGAGTGTCGCGGATAGCCTGTACAGATATTGGCTTTAGCCCACCAAAACAGCGCTGCATATCTTGGATGGCAGACCACACATATTTGCCGCTGAAACGTCCCCGCTGCACCACCGCCGCTTTTTCCATTAACCAGGTGGTCTTTGCCCGCCGTATACCAGCCCGAGCCTGGCCACGAGCCTCCTTGAAAGCCCTGTGATCATTCTGATCACACACATTCTGATCACACACACACACACACACACACACACACACACACACACACACACACACACACACACACACACACACACACACACACACACACATACACACACACACACACACACACACACACACACACACACACACACACACACACACACCTCAGACCTGCCCATCGCGGAAGCAATGATAGCAAACAGCCATGTTAGACATACAGTAAAACCTGTGACTACCGACCACCCCTTGGTGCCAGCAAAAGCGGTCTTTAGTAGCAGGTGGTCTTTAGTTAGAGGTTTGCACCGTGCGACCATATATGGATCCCAGTATATGATATGCATATCAAAATGCAGCTAATACCCCCAGGACTTGCGCAATGCCATTCTTATTTCAGGTCAAACAACACTTGGAGAGAAAGACGGAGAGATGGAGAGAGACAAAAAAGAGAGAGAGAAGATTAATTTTTGTGCAGACATCAAATTCAGCTGCTACTTCTGAAGCCAGGAGTCAAACGTTCCCTGTGGAAGTTTCGTTTTGTGCTGGGCTTCAAATTTGTTCATCCGATCAATCCTACCGATTGTTCGAACGCGATCCTTCAGCATCAGGACCTTGCGGTGCTGCTTTGCTTCTGGATTCCTTGACGCCATCGTCGATTCATTTGTATGGCTGGGGTGACAGAGCCGCTCAGTCTTCGTTTCTCCTCCGAGTAGTGACATCGAGCAGAGAGCGCTTTCGATGCGCTCTCAAAGACGTTTCCTATCATGTTTATTCTTGACAGCGCTTGAAATTCTGACAGGTGTAGTGCAGTCCACACCGACTCCACAGCCATAATGGCATAATGGCCTGCGTTCATTTGTTCAGCTGTAGTACCGAAAGATTCCTTTCAGGACCATGGAAAATCAGCAAAATTTCACGAAGGAGCTTCGAGCAACATTTGATTTCCTACATCGCGGTCGCTAGTTACGGGTCAAAAATCGTCTTTGGGACAAGAAAAGGCGGTCGCTGGTCGCGTTCAGCAGGTAGTCGCTAGTCACAGTGCATTTTGAATGTGAGACCGTCCGTGCCTGGCCAAGTGGTCGGTAGTACCAGGCTGGTCGCTAGTCACGGTGGTCTTTAGTTACAGGTTTTACTGTAGCAACTTGTGCTGGGATTACACCATTCAACAGCTTGCGAGGCTGATGAATTGACCACCACTAATTTTAGCCTGGTCTACACCACACAGCTGATTGAAGTGGCTTTTTTCTGCGCGCGCACAAACACACACACACACACACACACACACACACACACACACACACACACACACAGCCGTAGACGGAAAATATGTCACAGACTCCCTGTATTAGTACATGTACAGTGCTGTATGGGCTCCTGTAGAGAACACGTGACATACAGTAGCGCACTGTACATTGGTTCCTGAAAGCCATGAAACTCATGTCAGACATCTCATTTTTATTTCCTTCGTTGTCTCGCTTGGCTGGGTATCAGAGTAGATCTACTTACTCCTTGGCGAATGTCACCTGGACTTGTTCTTTCGGCAGTCCACCGACACCGTCCAGTGTGACATAGATCTTGACGGAGTTCGACTCCTGGTCCCAGCCTGTGTAACAGCCAGAAAGTGTTGTGCACACACACACACACATGCACCCAGACACACGTGCACACATACACACACACACGCACACACACACACACACGCATGCACCCAGACACACACGCATACACACACACACACACACACACACACACATGCACAGACAAAGACACATGCGCGCACGTCCAAACGCATCATCATACACTACGTTGCCAGTGGCAGGGACAACAATGAAGAACCCAATCAGAGTCAGAAGAGGGGGCTCAAATACAGTATCGCATTTTCTGGAGCATAAGCCGCACCCCCCCCCCCCCTTTCGACATAAAATACAGATATTACTACCCTATTTATCACCGCTAATTTGATCAACGGAGTATAAGCCGCAACCCCCTTTTTTTGGGGTGAATTTTGAGTGTTCAAAGTCCGGCTTGCACTCCGGAAGATACGGTACTCAATGCAGCATAGAGCAGAGCGAAAAGTCTCATCCCCTGTGCGTGGAATCCACAAACTGGTACTGTAAAACCGGAAAGTCTCACGAGTCACTAAGTCTAAGATCAATTTTTTTCTGTTTAACCCTTTACCATCCGTGCGTACTTGAATCGATCTCTAGAGATCGATGGACATGCATACACTAAAACATTCGTAACTCGATCGATTCTTGGCGGAATTTAAATAACTAAGTATCTAGGAAGAAGCCGAAGAGCCCAGCTTTCCATTGCATCATTCGGTGAAGAGCTGCGATGTCACATTCCAAAGATATTCCGCTCGACATTTCGGCCACGGCAAAAGTCGAATTTCTTTCCGAGTGACTGACCTTGAGCGGGGAATTTCCCCTCTCCTGACATGCTGAGTCACTTTGGCATGCTTTGAGTGCGTGGGCAGCATGAAAAGAAACTCAAGCAAAAAATTTGGATTGTTTACGATGAAGGAGCGAGAAATGGCTGGCGAGGAGAGAATTTCCTCGTACATCAAGCGATGGGGTGTATTTGAAGCTCCCTGGCGCTGGATATGTGATCTTGGTAGTGTCCTGTTTGAGCTCAATGGACGCAGCTCGTGGAGAGCTTTCCAGAATGCCCAAGTTTGTGAAAATTGGTTGATTAGAACCGAAGATATTCTGAAAATAAGGTGAAAATTATTGCATTTGGGACTGCTGGGGAATTTTGGTCGGATGGTAAAGGGTTAATAATAAGGACGTTTAGCAACGCGAAAGTTCGAAAGAAAATTCGAGTCTGGGAATGAGTACAGGAAAAAAGCTCGAAACTTCGAAAACTTGGACGCGAAGTTGCAGTGATTTGCGAAAGTAACTTTCTCTTTTCTCGGTACGCATTTGACTACAGGGAGTAGTAATTTTACAGCCCCCTGCTTGAGACTGACCTGCATTATACGGTACGGTACTATAAGATTCAAATTACTTCGAGAAAAAGTCATTTCGCATTGCTAAACCTCACAAGTTTTCTTTTTCGAAATACGTTTTCGCGAAATATCACCACCAACAAAAGTTCGAATTTTCGCATTGCTAAACGTCCTTAGTATTTAAAGAAACGTTATCACGAACCCGGTTTGAAAATGTCTGTGTAAAGACGCGCACACAGATGGGTGGCCAGGTAACCATCGTTAAACTTTCTGCACGTAATCATGCCAAAACTACAAAAACGTTATACTTTTTGGTCGTTAAACTTTCCGGTTTTACAGTACATACCGCAACCGGTATGATGTAATCTGGCCAAATTCTGCGAAACCTGGCTGAAGTTCCTTATGGAATGCTCCACAGTGCAGGGAACATACTGCAGTGACCATAAAAAGCAGCAATCCAAGCACATTCCCAGAGGATCGTACATGTAGTGGAGAAATTGGGATATTCTCAAATCGCCGCGGTGGTTCTTTCTAGAAGAACGGTAGGTTACATTAGAGTGGACGCATACTACAGTTTCACTCGGTGAAATCCCACCCAGAGTGCCCTCAACTAGCACGCCCTGGAATTGGCGCGAATGCGGCTGGACGTACGCATGTACAAATACAACGTTGTAATCGGAACTAGTCCAGAGCGTCAGCTTCGCAATTCAGGTCGGATTTCACCAAGCACAACTGTAGTACCAGGATGACACAAGGGGTGCATGGATGTGGGTAGTGGCACTATCGGCGCTTGTGACAGTGGTTAAGTTGCGAGACGTATCACCTCACCCCACCGTCAGGCGCTGCGGCCGCGGCTGGGTTATCCGTGGTTTTAGCAGCCATCGAGAGTTCCTCAGGAACGGATATGAAAATTGACTCCTTTTCTAAACAATAAGAGGACGGAAAAAGTGTTTTAATCTGAGTTTCGTGCACTAAGCGATCATCAGAGTTAAAACACTTTTCCGTCCTCTTATGGTTTGAACCAGCTCTGCCTCTTGGTATCGAGCACTCTCTTGGACAGCCTGGAACCCCTCTGTTTTACGCCTTTTTTATTATTATGACTGGTATGCCAGAATGACAACGAGTGAACAAGACAGGAAGAAACACACTGTCAGCAAAGAGATGATAAAATCCGACACGTCGAATACGCCGCTTACCGTACGACTTGATGGGTGCAGCAAACACCTTGCTATCTCTCGCCTTGGTGGCGGTGGTGGCCGCGGTGGCAGTAGCCGACGCACTGCTCTGTGTCTCCGCGGCGCCCGCGCTAGTGTTGGTGCTGGAGGCTGCCGGCAGAGTGTTGAGCAGACGCTGGACTTCCGTCTCCAGCAGTTTCTTCACGTTGGGCCGCTCGGCTATCTGCGCAAGACGCTGCAGCTCGCCTACATCTTTCTGCAATGCAACACGCACAAGAGACAGCATGCTTACTTTGTCTTGCACATATTGTACCCCAGTGGAACGACGCGTTGGAAGCCACTCACATACATAAGCCCAAGTACACTATTCACTGGTTTGAGGGAAAGATGCAAACGGGAAAAGTCAGAAGAAAAAATTGACTGTAGCCACCAGTACTCGAACCAGGGACCTTCGCTTTTAGCCAGTGATGCTCTAACCACTGAGCTATGGTGTAGCCATCATCCCAGCAGAGATCGTTCAACAAGTTTTAGTACACTACGGCGGCATTCATATTGAGAACCACCCGGGCCAAAAACGGTGCATCACGTGCACATAACAGTGTATTATCCTGTCCACCCAGCAGTAGCGTGACGGGAGTTACGGGATCACATTAAGGCCATGCATTACATCATCGCTGTTCGCGAAAGGCACCTACCGTATTTCCCCGATTATAAGTCGCACCTTTTTTACACTAAAATTCAGGGTAAAAAAGGGGGTGCGACTTACAATCGAGCATGACTTACTACTGAAGTGAATATATTGCAACAATATTGCTCAAACCTGAAAATGGCGGTGCGACTATCGAGTGCGACTTATAATCGGGGAAATACGGTACTCATCTACTAGTACTCTGACGTTTCAGTGACAAATGCACAGCCCTGTGAAGAGCCCTGTGAAGAGCCCTATTCCACCTCACACAGCAAGCTACCACCCGACATACAGTGGAACCTCGTTAGGAAGAACACTGATAAGACGAATGTTTGCCTAAGAAGAACTAGTATTCGTAACTGTATTGGATAAACCCCGGTGTATTTCACCGGGTAAAACACATGGAAAAGAAGAACTCCCGTTATTGCGAACAAATATCATCGGTCCCTTGATGTTCGTCCAAAAGAGGTTTGACTGTAACAACAAATTTACAAAATTATCATAACTCATTACAGTCCATTCATAAAAAGATGGGCTCTGGCTCTAGCGAGCTCCCGTATTTGGCGATTTTTCGTGATTTCATCGTACACAGTGCAGTGCTGCGAAATTTGAAATTTGAAAAAGGGTCCAAAAAGGGTACCTGAACTGGGGTTCGAACCGCACAATGCACTGTTGCAGACGGGGTCAAACGGCCTGGATTTTTATGGTTTTTCCCAATTCAATGCTTTGGGGGCAAAACCTGGCCGAAATCCTATTCTTGTTATGGCTTGCTTTTTGGAGAAAAAAACTTCAGAAACAGAAGAGGATTCCATAGAGGATTGCAGAAAAAAATTCTAAAAAAACTCAACGTTTGACCCATTTATGGCCAAAAGCTAGAAGTTCATTTTTTTCTGAATGGACTGTAGGCACACCACGCACCAATCCCAAGTGCTCAAATCGAAAACAAGGAAATACCACCTACTAAAGGTCGGAAGGAGCACGTGACGCAACAAACAAAGCGTGGAAAAGTACCCACGTCCCACGCACATTAGACAAACGACAGTCAAAACAATAATATCCTACTCGGGCGAGTGAGTGATAGATGAAGAAAACGCAGGGCAGCATTTCATTCAATGTTTCCATTCAAACAAAAGTAGTCATCAATTTCAAATTTCAGCATAAATTCAAACGACTTGGATCACGAGCATTTGTTTGTGGATGCTACTGTGTTTCGAATACATACTATTCTTACCATTGTGTCATTGGTCGCCATTGTGATAACCACGCCACGTACTCACAGTGTCCACAGCTGCACAACAAGTCCTGAGAGCAAACAGTTCGTTTCTGACAAGGTTTTTCGACCAACTTTTTTCAAGCTTGTCGCGTTTGCCTTGCCGGAAAATCACGACCAAAAGGCAAAACAGAAATTTCGTGTTGGGAGAAACCATGGAAACGTGTACAGTCAGATGTACGCGTGACGTAAGCGTCAGACTTCGGTCTGCGATTTGGGGGATCCCCTGATTCCCCTCACGTGGGGACTCACGTGCACGAGCACGAGTAACAGTTTGACACCGTACTTGAAAAGTATGCGTACATCATCACGTACATGGCGTGGCCCACGTTCCAGCTTCCTTTCTCTCATAAACTATTATTTTTAGGAATCACCCCTAAAAAAGTCAGTAGTCCAAGAAATCGAAAGAAAACAAGCCCTTAGAGGTTTCTCCAAGCGGCTCAGCCCAGGGAATTTGGAACATGTCGTTTCGTCAGTGATCTTGAGGAATCGCGGAAAGGCTCTCGAACTGACAGGTAAGAAAGAACATGTCCTTGGGACGGGGTTCAAAGTTCATAGCATGCCCTTTGCTCCGACGGCACAAACACAGCAGTGAAAGTCCAAATCATAGAAGAGGGCGTTCTTTAGCTAATACCTACTGAGTTTGAGTGATCAGGTTGTTGTCTTGTTTGTCTGACAAGTCGACTGTGGCAGTGTGCATGCACATTGTACATGTATAATACTAAAGTGCAATCCAGCATTGTATGGCGGATTGGTCATACTCATTAGACAAAAGTTTCCGACACCTCCATCTCAGTGATACTTCCACTGTACAATCATGTACATCATGTACATGTAGATCTACCACATGTACTTCTGCTAGTGGCAGTGTGCTACCCACCAATGGAGTTGAAAAAATAGCACTCCCTGTCAGAATCCCACTCAGCTTGCGGCGAGTCATCACTCATCAGCATGATGATCATGGCGGATATTTGTGCGTGAAGTCCCGCACAAGCATTGCCTTACTTCAAGTACAGCATTGCACGTGAAACCCGGGGGGGGGGGGGGGGGGGGGGGTGATCGCTGCAATTTGCGGCTACTAACCGTAGAAAAAACTCAAATCCGGCCAGCATGATCATCATTTCACTACGTAACGAAGACATCACGCTGCGCACAGCATAGCTCGGAGAATAGGGTTGCACGCGCTTGGGGTTATGCCCTAATCTAGCAAGTATTGATATGCCGCTCTCCAAATTTCATTCACTGTGCACTGTGCGATTACCAGACAAACGTCTACAATAGAGGTACAGCACAGCATATTGGCTTTATGAAGGTGCTAATACATGTATGTGGGAGGTGTTAGTCCTAGCGGGTTCTGGGTATGAGAGTTAGTGTCTGCGACCAGATAAGGTGTGATCATAGCAGTGCGGATCCTGTGCTGGTGAAAAGCAGAGCCAGTGCTGGGTGAGGCCCAGGTGGCCGAGTCTTCTCTTTTTTGGTCCATGTCGCCACAAATCAAACTAGTTTGAAAACTTTAGAGCCTAGATTCCACAACTACCTCTTAGCGTACACTGATACATCTACACACAAAGCACATCAGATGAATGCACTGGATTACTTGAGTGATATCAGTTATCCCAAGTCAATGATCCTGCTCAGGTGTATATGGATGCACATGAAGTCACACCTTACCTTCCTGACCCCTTGGGGTGCAATATCATGCAGCTAAATCACTACCCATCACGCCCAACTGTGCAACATTCGTGCCCTCAACTACATGCACTAGTATATCATCGCGCTGACCCTTCGTGCATCACATTCACATCAAGATGTGAGGTGTATAACTATCTTTGTAGGGTATAATCCATTGTTTACTCTATTGGGCTTTGTTTCCTGATGGTTGTGGCCCAGTGAAATAAACTCTGAGCACAGATGCACAAATTTTGCACGAAACCTTGTGTGTAACTGTGCTTTCTGGGAATTTTGTCTATGCTTCACTGCAGTATTGATCAAGCTCTGCACAATGCGTCGCCAGGCATTCTAGCATATTCCCAGAGCCAGAACAGCTCAAATCATTGGCTCATACCCCGATGAAGGAGTGCTGTTTCCGTCTTGTGGGACCATGATAAGTCCTGGATCAGTGCCAGTATGCCAAGGAGAGACTGAAGCCATGGGGCTGGGGCGAGCGGGTTTGAAACCCCGTCCAATCCCTGCTCTGATGAGCATGGCTATACGAAGGGAGCCAATGAGGAGAAAAATGCCTGGAAATCTAAGGTACTGTATATTCTCCATTACTAGCACAGTCTCACAGTCGCACTGTGAGCACCTTTCGAAACATTATAAGCAGCCTCTATTGTTAGCGCGGTCTTGATGGAAATCAATGTTGCATGCATGATGTCTAGCATGTTTGCTTTTTTTACTCCTCCCTCACTCTTCTTCTTGCTCTGTATGAATGTGTCTGGTTGGTTGAAAAAACAGAAGCACTGTCTCCAATTAAGCGCGGTCTCCAATATAAGCATAGGGTAGAGGGGTGTTGAAAAATATATGCCCAACACTTATAAAAGAGAATATCCTGTATGTATCTGTGTTGCATGCCCAGGATGCCCGGTGCAGGACTAGAGCGATGTGTTTCCTTTTATGACGTGCAGGAAACCGGAAATTAGGATGCAAGACCTCTTCTCTTCTGAGGCGAGTGGTGTGGTTTGCGGAATCCGCTGTGCTGGAGGAAGGCTTGTCTAGCTCAGCCATTGGTAGGACAAGAGTCGCACAATCATAGCGGCTACGTGCTACACTGCAGCCAGCAACAGCGTCTTATGATGGCTTGCCCAAGTATTCAATAATTGAGAGGTATGTTGAACAAGATTGATTGCGGTTTGTGGTTTATGTGGTTATTGATGCACTTAGTTTTTTTAGACTCCTTGTTACTTTGGGAGTTGAATCTACAACTCGGTTCTTGAAATACTGAAAATTCAGCCCGACTGACAGTCAGACTCTAACACTAGCCTAACACTTCTTATTCATGACTAATTTTGGATCTATGTGTTGCTTCTGATGCATTTCCCACGTCACTGGGATGTTGAGTTGTTCCACGAGAAAGTGCAATTAAAGCTCACGCTTCAATGTGGCTTGCCACACTGGAGACTCAGAGTAGCCACGTTGCCTGCACAAGTCTTCAATGGGTGTCGCAGTCACGGTGCAGTTCCTCATCGTGTACTGGTACCTTAACCAGTGTAAGCTGCATCAGTGACATGCTCCGTGCCTCACTTCCACACACACACCCTGGTGTTGTGTGCATGGTTGGTTGCACTGCCATTGTGACTGTCTGTGTTCCACCACTGGCTCAGTTGCATGCCTGCCATTCACCTATACATACTTGAGTACACGATTCCAATACTAAGTACGGCTGCACTGTCTCAGGGGTTGCATGGCTGGATGGCAAAATTCGATTGCACCACGATGAAAAAATACATTGAATTTGATTTTGATTTTGCTGGCCTGGCATGGCTGCTGGCACCTGCAGTCGATATAATTTTCAATCGGCCCACCGCATGCGAAGCGATTGAGTCACAGTGCCACTCATTTCTTTTATCACCACCGGAGCACTAGTATGCAATTGTCATCAAGTGGAACTGGCAAACAGGAATCTAGATTGTAGTCTGATGCTAGCTATCAAGTTAAACATGTGATCGCTGAGCAGGCATGCAATGGCATCATGATGACATGTCCACCTGGTGAAGGCCCTGGAGTGTCCGCTATGACTTGGCCATTCTCTGTTCAGCGCCGGCTTACGCAACTTTACCCTTCAAGTCTTGGACACCATTGTTGCGAAACCCTCCATAACTCCTAATAATTATGGTTGCCATGGTTTCTCATAATACCAGTACATTGCTAAGCTGGTAACCTTAAATGCTTTAAGTACGCCGGGCATTGCGTAGCCCTAGACCTGCGAACACTGGACTGCGAAATGATGCAAGCCGGAAGCTTGATTGGCGCATTGAGCAGGATTGTATGTAGAAACAGCTGGTGGTGATTGACAAAAGACAAACAATTGTTTTTGGCTTTTAGTCGACCATTGACGTCAGCCTGTACGAACACATTGGTCACCACAAAACAGACGAACCCAGCGGAGCAAGATATTGACGTTGCTGGGCTGTGACTGCTGTACATGTGTATCGCACGGATTCACGTCACTGTGCTCGTGTGTGTATGTGTGTGTGTGTGTGTGTGTGTGTGTGTGTGTGTGTGTGTGTGTGTGTGTGTGTGTGTGTGTGTGTGTGTGTGCGTTTGTGTATATCACCAGTACGACAGACCCATCTGTTCGCATCATAAATTGCATACATCACCATAATCACATGACCATTGAATGCGTCCATATGAGTGCTATCTCACGAGTTGTATTGGTTCTATGCCTCTCAGCCCGATGCATGCAGTTAATCCATGGGTGCAAGTTCATGCTCTGCACCGCCTGTCCCCTCGAAAGTACACTCACAAACCATGTTCCACTAGTGTTTAGCAGGACACCATTTGCATGGTTTGGTACTCCTATTACTCAGACCACTCCTCTGTGCAGTGTGACATGCTGCTAGACCCGGACAAGTATAAGCAATTCAGAATGATCTGCAGCGTTAAACATTCCCAGAATTGTTTCGACTGTTCGGGTTTTTCTTGCACGTTTTAGTCAGGAATACTGGTGCTAGAGCAGTTAGTCCATGTCACAGTACACATATCCGGCTAGTCCTGACAAATCAATGATGCTTACTGGCTGATCAACAAATGTTCTCTTGTCCCTGTTACATGCGATTCAGCACAATATGGACTGGAAACTAACAAGAGATAACATAGGCTCCCCAGTAAACTCTGCGGAGCTTATGTACAGTACTCTTGGAGTTTATGTACTCTTGCTAGTAGTTGTTTATAATAGTAAAAATAAAAACAGCCTGTACACAAACAATGCATAATTTTGAATTTAAAATGGTTTAAAAAACTCATTGTTTGTGATTCGGTTGGAAACCCCCCTAGAGGTGACCCTGCGTACGCGCCTGTCAGGTGTCTTGCTGCAGTAGGTTTGTAGCATTTCTTGTTGCATTTTATCTTGGAGGTCCTCTGTGTTATCACGTCTCAACCTGTAAACGGTAAGCCATTATTCATACCGTGCGTTATCGCATGAACAGCACACACACGCATACCCAATCGAGCTATCGGCCGTCAAAATTGATGCAATCACCAGTGCATGTATGTGTAGCTGTATGGTGTGCGTCACTGCTCCCTGTTCACTCTTGTCAATGTCGCTTGCAACGGATTAACTACGATGAGTGGGCAGCTTGAATGAGGTCCACTATCATAATGACTAATGACCGGCTCCATAGCGAATTTAAGATAGTGTGCGACACTATCGCCATTTTGTCCATTTTACACACAGAAAACCTCGCTGTTCATTAGCAGCATGTCTAGTGTGGAGCCTTGCTGGTGATCTGAATAGAATTTGCAGCTCTGTCGTATTTCCCCGTTTGCAGTTTACCAATATTGTAGCGTAAACGTGTTAGCATCCGGGCCTAACCGAGAACTGAGATCACTTTGCATGAAGTCCGAGTTGCAGCTAAACCTCGTTCTGCTTTTCTCTGCATGACCTTTAGCTCCGTCTATGTAAATTCACCAAGTTATACAGTGACTGATTTCATGATGTGGACTAGATTCCAGAAACATTGATACAATTCGCCGCCTGCGTGTGGAAGAGCTGGAGCGCTTAGCCAGAAGTTGCTGAATCGCTCAATGCCAGTCGCGTCCAGGACTGGAATAGGCATTGGGAGATATAACATCAAGCAATACCTGGATCTGAACATGCAGCTCCTGACGACCAAATCATGCACAACTTTGTTGAATTTGCTATTGCTCATTCAGAACTGTAGGTGATGGAGTTCAACACAGGGGTCATCCATTGTATACATCTGCATCACATGATCAGCATTTCAAACAAGCCGCCATTCGGTCTCATCCAATCAGAGTGTTTGTTTGGTCTTCTGTCTTGTGATGACATTCCCTTATTGCTCAAGTTGTTGGAATGCCACAGATACAGACCGGCTAACGTCAGACATGCACACATGACATTCTCCCGAAGAGCTCCTTATATGGACACCAGTGCCATGTAGAGTGCGTCAGTAAGGCACCTGGCACATGTATTACACGTAGGGTATGAGCGGATGGCTATACAGCATGCTGCAGCAGCTGCATCACAATGTTGATCTGATGGAGGGTCATGTTTGTGTGTCATACTCGGACCCTATGATGTCTTCATCGCTGGGTTGAATGGTATGGGGGTACTTGATTGTATCTCCAGGTAGGCTCTGCATCCCCACAGAACTCCATAGCCAGTGGTAGTGCTGGTGCTACATCCATGATTGTATACATCATGTACACTGGTCGCTAAAACCAGAGGTCGCTTACACCTGGTTTTACTGCACCCTGTAGTCTTGCACAGAGATTCAATGCAGCCAGTGCAGTGTCAAAGGTCACCCCTACTATCCATAGTCATACTCACTCCGGCCAGTGGCACTGTGAATGGTGAATGTTGATCTTGTGATGGCCATGATGTAGGCATGTGACGTCAGGCCTAGGACAAGCAAGGCGCCAGGCGAGATCTGTACCGAAGTCCTTACGACAGCCCTTCAGGTATGGAATTGCAGTTGTCTAAATCCGACGTCGGCACATTACCAGTACCACTGCAGTAGTTTGAGTGCAGAGGAGCTAAGCCTTCTTGCTGAGTCAAAGTCAGCGTGCTGCCTGATCACGAGGTCCACAGCGATAGCCCTGCCACGCCAGAGCACTAGTCTTATGGACACACCTTCGTCAGTACGCAACACGAGACAGGCTTCAAGGGACCCAAACCTTGCACACACATTCGCTGTCGTCCTGGGGCCAAATGCAGCCAGTGAAGGCAAATCCTGAATGCTCTCTTCCAAAGCAATGACACTTTGACAGTCGCGACTAGCGCCAGTGGTTGACAGTAGCTCATGATAAACATACGCAGCGACATCGTCATCTTCATCTAAACTCCTTTCATGCAGCCAGAGCACAGATATATAGATAGCTCTACATCCCGCCTATAGATACGAACATCGTCGATGAATTGTCCCAAGCGAAAGGACAATATTAGATGCAGTGGTCTCCAACTTAGCCTCAAAGCCTCTCAGAACGTGCAGGACTCGGAACGTGCAGACCTTCATCTTCCCCCGAAGTCAAGTGTGGACAGGCGAACGTGCAACACAAATCGTGAGTACAAACCTGTACATGTGCTGAAGTCAGTTCTCATGGTAGAGTCTCTAAATATAGACCACTAACTGCTACTTCTATACCATGCCCTTCGTGATATGATCAATGTTTACCTTGGTTTGTCTGGCCAACTCTCGTCTTGCCAACTCTTGTTGAAAGTCTACGACTGAGCCGGGCAATGGATAGCTTAAGTTTGATTTGCTTCATTAGAACGAAGATCTAAAGTTTATCAGATGGGTCTGGTTGCTTGTAACACTCCTAGTATGTTGCCAAAGGGGTTTGTCGCCAAGCTGCTGTTAGCAAAACGCGTCCCGGTGACTATGGTAGAGTTGAGGTGAAAGAGAAGGACCTCAATTGGAACTTGAAATGAAGTGATCCAAATCAGTTACAACCAAGGACGTTTGTGAGCCCACCAAAGCAGAAGGAAACCTCCAGCAGCCAGTGCTAGATCTCTGAGTTGAACTCCACTTTTCTATCCCAAATCAAGTTACCATGCGGGAAAATCGCATTATGGTACAGTGCACTAGTCGAGGGAATGGAAAAGGGAAAGGTCTAAAGACGAAATCACTGTCACCTCCAGGACTCGAACCAGGGACTTTCGCTTGAGGCCAGCGATGCTCTAACCATTGAGCAATGGTGTAGCTGTCATTCCAGTAGAGACCGTTCAGAGTTTTTCTCCGACTTCGAAACGCGTGCTTCCTGTGAAACTACACAGTGGTACGGTTATTACTGTTAGTCAGTGGACGGGAGCGTTCATTAATGCGACCTCATCGAGAGTATTCCCCTTCGGTACTCTTCGCCGTCCCCCCGACACACCTGGAAGTAACGTTACATGCGTCTGGAAAGGTGGAAGCACCTACTCAGGCTACTGAGTGAAGTATCAGTAGATGGACGGGCTGCCCAAGATTCGTTCCGTCGTCCTCTCCGCCTTCCACGCAGTTTACACACTTTCCACTGTACATGCCATGAGTTTGTGGCCATGAGACTGGTCTAGGTCTGCGTCTGAGTGTGCAGCTGCATACAAAGCTGTTAGCTTTGAACCAGATGCTTAGAACTGTCATCAGTAGCAGTTTGATGCTTTGAAGCAACTTACAAATGCTTCAGTATTCGCCAGACCTCTCACTGCGATCGACTCTGCCAGTCATTCTAAGCTGTGCTAAGGAGACCGAAGAAGGTTGAAATAGCTACTACAGTAGTAGTGGCCACCCGGAGATTGAATGCAGTTCTGTTAGGCGAACCTGAGCAGTTAGGCGAATCACCTACAATGTAACTAGAGAGATACAGATCAGGACTTAGTGCGTGTTCACAGATGGAAAGATGGCTTACGGCGTGTAGCCAAGCTAGCTGAATTCAAGATCTCAGTCTGTAGCAAACATGTACTGAAGTGATTATAATAATAGCAAAATCTACGTTTTGTAGTTTGAGCACTCTGGCGCTAGAGCGACGAGCTATCTTAATGCCTGTGGTGCCTCCTTTGCACCATGGCTGGTAGCTCGGCCTATTTAGCTCGTAGTTGTACTGATGAGGCCTTTATGGCCGAAACAGCTTGCTGTCTACAGCATTGGGTTGCAAAATCTACATGTAGTCGGAGCCTTCCCAACAGATGGTACAGCTTCGGAGGGAGTCTTCTTTTCTCTGTCCTTCAGTTTTGAATGCGGGTCCCGGGGCTAGCCAGATCATGGGAGTGATGACAATCTAGCTACAAACCCTATCCGGCTACAAGCAGTGGTCATTGGGTGCATTGCAGGGTGTGTAACATGCAGAGGATGCCCGTCATTTGAGATACCAAACATTCGTCAGGGACGCTGATATCCCACCCGTGTTTTCTTGGTTTGGACATATGTTCAAAGCGATCAGTATCTTTCCCGTTGGCCAATGATTCGGGTGTCCTACAGTGCAGTACTGTTTTAGTCTAGTGGGAGATTGAGTATTGAGAAGTTGCACAGAAGGCAGAAGGAGGTTTTCTTTGCAAAAGTTCTGGCAGAATTTTGCCTCAGGATAGCGTAACACGAAACTCGAGTACCAGGCAAACCTCTTTCTGCCTTCTTTTAAATTATAAGGAAGCTTCTATTGAGCACGGTACAGTGGACAGAGGGATAGTTCTACTTTGTAATGGGTGGTTAAATAGATCAGAATTCTAACAACGACCTTATGCTTGTACGTTGTGGTGCCGAACATCCAAGATGCATGTACAGTAAACACCTGGTGTAAGCGACCTCTCGTTGTAGCGACCACCTGCTCTTAACGACCGTTTTTCCATGCACGGACAGTTCTACACAGACACTGTGGGACCTGGTTCTATAGACCCCCTGGCTTTAACGACCGCTTTTCCTCTGCACCGTGGGGTGGTCGCTTAAACCAGGTGTTAGTGTATGTACATGTATTGTCAGAGGGCATGAGTGGCTTTCTTTGCCAGAAAGCGCTTTGTTGCAGTCGCTGCATCCAGGATCGATTGACTTTGTGGGTGTGCTAGCCAAACAGGCTTCGGGTTTCAGCCCATACCATCTCTATGGTCTCGTCACCAGGTCACTAACACGGACGCTTCTGCGGATTAAAAAAAATGCTATTAATGCGATTGGCCTGGCCCAGACGGAGCTCTGGAGTCTGGGTTCTGTTTTAGTCCCTTGTTTTGTCCGATGTGGTAAAGATCGATAGACGATGATGAAATCTCAAGTGCAGTTGTTTACTCGAGGCACATCAGCACTGTTCTCGTTTCTAGTGATCGCATTTGGCAATAGCGTACCTGTACAGTAGGGCAGTGTTCGCGGAGAAGGCAGCAAGCTAAAGGCAAAAGGAGAAAGCTGCAGTGGCGATGTGGATAACGAAAACAATGCATAATTATTGTTGTTCTTTCAATGGGGAATTGACAGGCTCAGGAGGTTGGGCACATTCGAAGTCGCGACTTTTCTTGACGTCAATTATAAGTGACAGGCTGGTCGAGCATAGGCAGCTGGGAAAGAAAAAAATATGAAAGAATGACGAGTTCTTGACACGCCAGACGGTCATGTTTTCTGACAACATAGCACGCTTTGACTTTATCCTACACGTGCTAGGCGAATGTGGAGAATGAGTGATGGATTCAATGAACAGGCCCTAGGCCCTGTTGGGGAAAGCCAAGGACCTCGGTCGGGCCTTCACAACATCAGAAAGGGCATCATCCACTCACGTGACTGCTTGGCGCTCCAAGTACACACGCAACTATTTAGACCACACATCGACGTACAAATTCTCCCCGACATGTACCAGTCGGTACTGGCTGACAGCGCCAGCGTAGTCCTGTTTGTTGGAACTACTGCCGTCCAGGATCAGCTATGGTCGCGACAAGTACAGAATGTACCGTGTATTTACCGTGCCTACTGAACAAGAGGTCGAAGAAAAAAATGACTGAGCTTACTGCTGCCTGCTGCGGTCGCTCCCGCGAACAATTCGTCAACTAGCAGCTTGCGTCATGCTCTGACAGGTTTTTGACATTTTGACACGTGCCTGGGCAACGTCAGCAGACCATCGGCTCCACTCACCCGCTGCGTACTCAAACGTCTGGTGCGAAGCTGAGGCCTCTTGACCGAATTCGGACAAAGCAAAATAGGGCACAGTCCCAGCAGTACTCGTAGCGACAAGAGTATACTCTTGATGGTGACGTGGATGGATTTATGAACATGGGAGAAGAATATTATTATGATGAATACTGACGATAAACAGCAGTTCAGTAAGACGCCGGCATGTGATCTAAACGTCATCTTTACTCTATGGAAGTGACTTTATCAAGAGTTTCCCCTGGCCACTTGCCGACCATTTCCACTGGCCCCGACACGAAGTCTCTTGTACGTCGGGCGAGGGGTATGAACGGTCATATCTGCAGGCAACATACATGTATCGCGCTACTACCTACAGTACAGCTATCTATCATCTATCTATAACGTTAAGGTGATTGGTTCGGGCCAGGTCAAGCGCATTTCCATGGGGGAAATGAATAGGTTTACCCTGTGATGTGTGAAGTGTATGTGGAGTCGTAGAGAATTGAAGTGAAGCACAAAGTCCGAAGTACTAGTAATTGCAATAGTACAGCTGGCTCATATAAGAACCAAAACAACGAAGTGCAACCTTCTGCTGACTCATAGGGCGATTGCCTGAAATCATGAGATGCACATGCAGCTGACAGCCGTCTCTCCAAGACGATACGTTACACGCGATGAGTAACGCACATGCATACGCGCACACTGGACTACGCGGCCAATAGTTCCAACTCCATCATAGCCTAGCAGACGTCTGGACAGGCGCTGTCAATGTCACTGTCAGTGCGCGCCATTCAGCCATCAACTCCGGTGACGTGTGGAATTCTGTTCCATCTGTTGCCAGCTCAGACCACAAGTCTTGCATTGGATGCAGGCCTTGCAGTGATTAAAAGATGCTGTTGTCTTTCGAACTGCTACCTGGAAAAAGAGACAGTAGTACAGCTGGGTTGCGGGATTGTTGTAAAATAAAATACGCTGTAGATGTGGAGGGACTCACAGACAGAGAGGGAGATATACATGCAAAGCAGAGTTGCCGTTCAGTTGGCCTGTCTGACAAGCACGTCTTTCTGCAGATAGAGGTGGTAACAGCCCCCTCCCCTCTCTGATCCCATCAGGACACATAATATTATTCAAGGCAGAAACAAACCAGAAGTGGGTGAAGAACATTGGTTTTGAAATCACAACGGGACTTTAAATACACTGGCAACCTACATGTATTATACTTCACTGCAGCGAAGGGAAAAGGAGGTTAGAACATGTCCGGTCAAGGGACCCGTCAGGGTCAAGGCGTTAGCTGGTGCGGGCAGTAGCACTCGACAACGCCACACCGCTCTGGGGAAGAGGGGGTTGGGTACAGGCCCAGGTTGCCCAACTGCAGGCTTGCAATCATGGCCTGGGTGCTGTACCAAGTCTTGTACACTATAGACCTGTTTTGCAAGAGGCTCCAAAGCCGTTCATGGGACCCCATCCCTTGCTGTCCAATCCGTCAAGGCTGTTGTGTATCAGGCAACAGCATATTGCCATTGGTAGTGTCTAGTGTGGTGCCAGTGACTGTGTAGGTATTCATTGGCGGTCACGTGGTGATTATGATCAACGTCGATGCTATCTTCAAGTCTCCCACGCTGTACAGGCTCCCTCCCTGTCGTTCTTGTCCGGATCTAGGTGCACGTGTTCCATTCGGTAATTGCCCACGGTATATCGACGTATACATGAACATGTAGAATACGCGCCACTGTATTACGCAATCCCAGCACAGTCAACTACTCGCGGTGGTGCTACGAGAAATAATTGAAGAAAACAACCAGTCTGGGTGGCCGCGATCTCTCGTACAATCTACGTGGTATATCTGTTTGCCAAAAGTTCCAGCTGTCGTGTGGTGAGCGATTACACGAATGCATGGAGCCTGGCGGCTGGCCCAGATTTGTTTATGCTATTGAGTATTGTGGTTGCTCTGGCTCCCCTTACAAGTAAAGCTGAGGATTTTAATACATAGTACATGGCACTATGATGTCATACCTAACTTGCACGAATCAATCTGTCATAGCTTGGTAATATTAATGATATGGGCAAGAGAATGCAAACCGGTAACCAGGGAGTCGACGGTGTACGGCTCCCTGACATGATGCAAACCCGTGAAAGTGGTTTTCAGGTTTATCCCGCATGGGTATGGAGCAGGGAGTCAACTCCCTGATGTGGCTTAGCGTTGTACAGTCACTCTAGTCTAGAGGCGCGTAGCACCGCCATTGGGGGTGGTGCGGTCAGGGGGTCCGGAGGGATGTCCCCCACGGATTTGTTTTGAAATTAATTATTTATTAGGGTGCAAAATCCTGCATTCTGGGCACTTTTGGCATTGTTTTACTATGGTGGTCGTGGTCGGGCGAAAAAGTGGTCCGGCCAAAGCCGGACCGGCGAGAGCGGCTGCTACGCCCCTGCTCTACAAGTCAATACTTTGAGCTGGAGTCCCTAACCTCAGGGATTATTCAATCTTGCTACATGTATGCGCGAGAGTGACAACAATACTGCCTGCCCGTGCGTTCATCTGTCTGTCCCTTCCTTCTGCTCCATTCAGGGAGCACATGTAGCAACATATTTTACTGCTCCCTCGTTTGCTGCTACTATTGTACCAGTATAGTTTCCCGACTCGTGGTTCTCTGCACATGCCATGATATCGATTGTACTGTTGCATGCGATTTCAAATAAAGCTTCAAGTTGTTATCTTGGTATCAGAGTGAAATGTGGCTTTTGTTATAGCAAGTACATTGTTTAGTTGCAACACATGCATGCCATCAAGAGTACATAACCCCAGTTATGTACTCTTGATGCCACGCGATGATGTGACTACATTATTATAGTCAAGAGTTGTACGGTACGGTAAGAAACACCCCTGCGCATGTGCTCAAGTTTTATACAGCTGGGATGCTAGACTTGCTTGCTGATCGCTGAACCGTACAACTCCGTAAACGCAATTCTTGCCTTGAGCCTTCGGCAAATATGGCAGGGTCAGATGAGATCCTGAGACTAACAGTTACTTGGAAATAGCGAGCGTGTAGACGATGCAGAAAGGTGGATGGCACAGCATCCCCAAAGCCGTTAGTGATCCGGGATGAAATACTGTGCGTGGGATTGCATCCCTGCCAGGCCAATGGCTTTCTCTCCAGCACGCGGCACCCGGCCCGACAAGGATAAATCTGGCGGAGAGCAGGACGGCAAAGTCCTCTGCTGCAAATCACTTCCGACTCCAAATATTAGACAGGCTGTTGTCATTGTCCCTGCTTCTATCCAACCTTTTGCTCCGTTCTCGGTGTATGCCTGACTGTGTAGCCGAATTCGAACGTACCAGCGGTAGCAAACAAGATGACGGACGTGATTCGCAGTGCAATGATCGAGCTGGGGCTGGACGCTGATGAAGTGCCTATCGAGTATCGCATCCAAGACGTGTTCGGCAGGTAAGCAGTGCATTCCCTGAGCTCCTGGCCTTGGCTTGGGTTCACATCATCTCAGTATCTGCCTATGTAATGCTCCTGTTTCGGGTGTAAAACGCATTGTTTGAAATAGGACCGAATCGAATAGTTTCTAAAGGAATCGAATACCGGACATGCTATACCCACCAACCTCCTGTGAGTGTTAGTAAAACGTCCTGGCAGCTCAATATAGGATATTATCCTATATTAGGCATCAAGGAGGCCAGCAAATAAGGCAAATGGTACGTTTTGAGAGGGTCGATAACTAACTTCATCCATCCACCTCCTGTTGTATAAATCCTGGCACCTGACTGTCAAGGAGGCCAACAGACAAGATCAATGAGATCTTTAGAGAGGGCCAATGACCTCCTGGTAGTGATGTAAACTTGTAGGGAGTTTGCTAGTGATTGTGTAGCCTGCACCCTGTATTACCAGCAGTATGCCAAGCTGATCACAACCATTTACAGTGTATCATTTAATAACGTTATTATTATTATTGTAGAAAGGAAAAGGACATAAGGATACGAGTTAAGAGTTAAAAGTAACTCTCCATCACTGTAACTGGATTCTATCCTTTCTACATTTATTATTATTATTAGAGATTTTCGAAAATCGAATATCCTAGATAGAGAAACGAATACTTGGAATGCCTGGCAAAGTGTCTGCAGCATATCCAGTCTGGTGTTTTCAGTTTTCACCCCATGGTCATGTAGTGTATGTAACATGAATGGCAGTATGGATTTCTTCCAAAATTGCAATTTCCGCGTTCCGTGCATCAGCGGAGCTGCGGAACTCAATGCATAACTCTTAGTTCAGTACCTTCACTGATGCGAGGAACACTACAATGCATTTCAAGATTTTCGCAAACTGGTTTGTCAAGAGAATTGCATGAGGACATGGGGAATTTGAGAATCAAATTACACAGAAGGGCTTGCTTATCACGGTGTGGCAAAACTGGTCGTTGAAGTTTTCAGGGAACGGCTGATTATTATTATTATTATCGTGAAGTGTGTGGGTTACAGTGAGGGCTGCGTGCCACCCGCCTGTGTGGATTCACAGGAAGTGTGAGTTACGAAGTCTGAAGAAAATGTTGAACGGCCTCTGCTGGGATGACGACTACACCATAGCTCAGTGGTTAGAGCATCGCTGGCTACAAGCGAGGGTCCCTGGTTCGAGTCCTGGTGGTGACAGTCAATTTTTTCTTCAGACTTTTCCCGTTTGTCTCTTTCCTTCAAACCAGTTAATATTATTATTATTATTATTATTATTACACCTTACACCTATTACACCTTCCAGTGGCTAGAGATGAATCAGTGCCAATATAGATGAGGAGGGGGCGTTTGCCAGCCATGGCGGGATTAGGAACTAGAAATATGGCTAGGTGTAGACCTTCCGTCGATCTCACTGACATTCCATTTCATCATAGCCTAGGAGCTGTGGCATCATTCATGATCCACAGCAAGAAGACAGCAATGCCTATACCTACATTTGTACGGTGAACTGGTAAAAAGAAGATAACATAACATTCCGTTTCCGTCTTCTCAGGGATATCCTGTGGCGGGTCAGCATGTGTGTTTGAGGTGAGGTTGGAGGGTAACGGCTGTGAAGGGAACTCAGCATTAGTGACTGTCTAGTTGTTCTTGGCTAGGAAGGTCCAGTGCTTGCAGGACAGCAACAGCATGTATTTTTGGTCCCATCGGCCTCTTCATATTTGTGCACCTGCACTGTTGAGCTTCTGATGTAAAAAGAACACAAATAATAATAATAATAATAATAACAGCAGCAGCAGCAGCAGCAAGAGCAGATGGTTGTGTCTTAGCCAAGAACAATGCCAGTGGTCAGTGCGTAGTTGTTCAGTAGCAGGTGTCCAAAATCAGTCCCCTGTTCCTCACTGGCACCCAAGCTTGGCCGGTGAGTGCATACATTGACTGGGGTTTGACTAGTCTTGTGTTTGTATGTTCCCGTTTTGCATCTGCATCTAGCTCTCGATCGTACTGCTCGCACTGCCACCGCACATGGAGCTCACACATCTCCTGGGTGAAGATGGACCTGAAGACGCAGCGCGTACTCAAGAACTGGAAGCAGCGCTGCTTGAACTGTAGCCAAGAGGTAACTGCTGCTCTTGACTGGCTTGCTTGCTTATTGATCAATCAGATCACGTTACTTCATCACGTGTCATGTGATTTGGGTCCCTTTGGGTTTTGACCCCCGCCTCTCCATGGATTGGTTCAATTTGGGCTCTATACAGCAAAAACCTGCCCAGGCGACCGCTTTGATAGGGCAGCCACCTGTCCTGCACGGACCAATGCAACTAGAGAGTAGAGAGAAGCAATGGATGTCATTTCCAGTCAAACTGTCCTGGATAAGGAGACCACCTGTACACAAAGACCACCTGTGCACAAAGACCACCTGTGCACAAAGACCACCTGTGCACAAAGACCACCTGTGCACAAAGACCACCTGTGCACAAAGACCACCTGTACACAAAGACCGCATGCGTAAGGTCCCTTGAGGGGGTCGACTTACACAGGTTTCTCTGTATTTTCAAAGGTTTCCACACATTTCTCGAATCTCCATACATTTTCGCCATGGTGTGATTCGATGCCTTTTTGGGTCACCTTCCGTGTCCAAGATTCAAGTTTTTGATTTCTTTCAAATTTCAATAACATCTTTTGTCATGCCTGCAGGTGAATCCCTACATCACCCCGGAGGAACTGAAGAGAATTTCAACACTGGCTGTGAAGAGAGCACAGGCTCTCATGAATGGTAAGTGTGCACACGAGTGTGTGGTTTGTAACTACTTGAAAAAACTCTGCACTTAATTCGTAAGAAATGTAAGATGGAGGAGATGACAAAAACAGCAGACTAACAATGCATCAAAGTGAGTGGAGCTGCAATGTAAGGCAGCTGTGGTGATCGCGCGTGAGTGAGTGTGTGTGTGTGTGTGTGTGTGCCAGCTAGTTCGGTTGGTGGGTACACTTATGCCAGATAGTGCTGGGCCTGTTGCCAACGGGCTTGACTGCTTGAAGGTGTATTGTTGTACCTACCACCTTTGTTGGTTTCAGGGTTCATATACTTTCTATTTGAAGTATACATACCTGTTAACCATGGACTGCTTCTGGCTATATTAACTCTTGTGTAATCAATGGTGCTAGTGAAGCTTGTATCAGATCCACTCTGATTTAGCCACCCACACTAGTACCAAGTATTACCTTCACTGGGGGCAGAGGGTACCTGCAGTTGGATCCCGGGACGGATACCCTGATGCCGTCAATCCTTTTTCTGCACCTTGTTCTCACCCACTTACTGAGGTGTGGTGAGCCCATAAGTGGGATCATTTCAAATCCACCCTAGTTTGGGGATTTCAGGGGGTGTCGGCCGTTGGGTGGTTCAATGGCCAATTGAGTCATCTTTCCAAGATTCCTTTTGAGTCTCTCTCCCCTCTCCCAGGGAGACCCACGTGACCAGTTTTGGCAGTGAGCAAGTACAAGTGTGTGTGTGTGTGTGTGTGTGTGTGTGTGTGTGTGTGTGTGCGTGTGTTAGTGTGTGTGTGTTGGTTCGTGTTGGTCACCTAAACCATCACATAGCCTCCTGTGTTCTTGCATTCTGTTGTTGAAGTTGGATTGGTGGAAAGCTGTGATTTCATGCACCTTGGAGACATACCCTTAATCAGACCAGTTGACACTTTAAACTTAACATAAACTTGTTACTACGGGCTGAAAAGCAGGGAAAGTTGTTGGTTAGCAAATCATCCCGAAATTGATGGCATCGAGAGCTCTGTTTTTTAAAGGCGTTTATCATTGTCTTCTATTCACCAAGCCAAGTTGTGACCCCTGAGTACAGGTGGTCTCCTTATCCAGGGTCATTTGACCCCATGCAATAACTTCCTTTGATCCTAGTTGTAATGGTGTTCTGAGACTGATACCAGGTGGTGGGTTTATCAGAGCGGCGCCCTTGACACACTTTACTGTACACATATAAATTCCATTTTTTTTGTAGAGGAAAACATTTCTGGAGTTCTCCAGCTGTGATCATGCCCAGCGCTACTGCGATTTACCTAAAGCCTTGCCTCTTGTGCGCGTGTGTTTGTATATGTGTGCGTCTGTGTTGGCATGCCTGTGCCGGTCACGGTGCGTGTTGTTGTTGTCTTCAGGTACGTTCCGGCCCATGTCGCACGCCCGTCGCACATCGCCGCACAACACCACCACGTGCGAGAAGTGCAAGTACGGCCGTCGGCCGTGCTGGATCGCCAAGACGCGGCCCAGCCTGTCCATGGAGCAGCTGCAGAACTCCGTCGACGGTCTGGCAACGCCGGTGTCCAACCAGCGCTCGGCCAGCCCGCCGTTGGTCAAGCAGTACCTGATCGACGACATCTCCAGCAGCCTGGCGCAGATGTCCCTTCAGCACGTCGTCGCCGCTCAGCCTCAGCCGCGGCACCACATTCCCGTCGGCCATGCCATGCAGTATCAGCCGTATGGCAACACGGCCGCTGCCGCCACACAGCCTGTCTTCACCACCACGTCGACCATGCAGCCATCGGCCATGGTGGCCACTGCACCATATGTTACTTACTACCCAGCCGCACAGCCCATGGCCAAGGTCTACTAGGCTCACCGCCGACACCGCGAGGAACTCGAAACAGTAAGCTTCTGCCCCTGACACTGCCATTGCCATGCGTGGTTTCTTGAACGGCGATCGTAAAGATCCACGCTGTTGCCACAGAACGGGAGCTCTTTGCAATGAGTTACCATCAGCAACTGCAGTGGCAAGACTCGTCTTCAACCCCGTCTAACTCTGGCCCTTTTCATCTAGATAGTCTAGTGTCTTGCATAGGGTGTTCATCGTCGTCATAGGAACCGTAACACTGCCGGTGCATCGCAATCCGCTGCTGGCTGCGTTCAGAGCACGGCCCCTGGGGCCTGTCGTATCATGATGTATGCGCACACCACTGACTAGCTGCTGCGCTTTAGAACTCAGCAGTCATGGCCTTAAGGCAATGATGTCACACCCCCACTCAGTACACTGCAAGATACATCCATTGCCCTATACTTTTTGTCTATCCTGCCTGAAAATTGAAAACAACTGATAAAAAATGTACGCATCTCAATTCACCTCCGTCACATATTATGTTCTCGTCAACTGCCCAATTCAGCATCATTCACCGCAAGTCCAATAGCTGCAGTCGTTTCTTCGATAGATTTTCTGCCCAAGTAAGGTAAACAAGAATTACTTTAGAGGATGTTCCTCAGCCGGACTGAGAGCTTCCAACTGCAAGCGGCTGGAACCATACATCTCCCATAGCGAGAACTTAGAACAAAACACGCCTAATTTCTTTCCTGTTTAACTAGTCACGGCTGCTACATGCATATGTATGTGTGCATCCTCCATGCAAGCCTTCTGTGTGTGTCCGCATTATCAGCTCAATTTCGTCATGCTCTCTATATACCCTACCGTACTCAGTTTGGGATTGAATCAAATATGTAGCGTGTATATTTAACAATAACTATACTGTGTGGTCTGAGTGGCTGTGGATGCTGATGGGAGGGAAGGGTGGGGTGTGCATCCACGTGACTGAAGCGCGAATGCTGTCCCTGTGGCTGTGAATGTTACACTTACTGACATTTGTAAATCAACTTATTTTTCCAGCCAATTCAATTTTGCTGAGTTCACCCCTTGGTACGGTCCCAACCAGCCAAAGTAAGTCCCTGGCCACACACAGTGCTCACTCAACGAGAATCAGCCATGGTTGTTACTTGTATCCCCCGGGAACTTTACTATGCAGTAGAATGCCCCCCCCCTCAATCTGTCCCTTTGGAAAACGCGGACAAGAACTCTAAATTGCACGGCAAATGCTGCGGGGAAAAGGGGGTTATAATATATATATATGTATTCCGTGGCATTTTCTGCTGTATAATCAATAACAAGAGTACATTTATGTACTCTTGTCAATAATCTGTGGCACTTTCTGAACGTTTTTCACCCTTCTTGTAATGGATACATGTATGACACCTACATGTACATGTAGTTGAATGAAGGAGTACTGGTCACGCTATCCTTTGCTATGCTGTCACCAATTGATTGGATGGAAAACCTCACACACACACACGCACGCACGCACGCACGCACACACACACACACACACCATCATTCTTCAAGTTCAATCCAAGTGGTCTCTTTGCTGCAAATTACAATAATTCTCAATCAAGTCTTCGGCCAGGAGCCATCATCAGGATTAAGGAGAAAAACAAGTGAGGTAGACCTATAACAGGCAACAGAAGTCATGACCTCTGGATTTTAGCAGCCATTATATGACTGCAGGCTATGATGTATAGTTGATGTTCGGTCATGATGGAAGGAGAAGTGGAGCTACGGGAAAGATGAGCTGATTATTCGCTGGGTGACATCGGTTGGACGAGTATGATGATTACGAAGACAGTTGAACATGATAATTTTCAAAGGTAACTCAAACTAATTTGGCATTGAAATAATATTTTTACTTTAGTACAAAAGAAATCAAGTAATGAATAGAAGAAGTAATGTTTTCTCTTTTCCATGTTAATCTCTAACATGCATGGACACCTTGGTATGGGGATACTCATGTATTTTGTTGTACTTATGGCCACTTGCAACTTGCAAGTACGAAAAAGGCACAATTTTCCGAACTTTGAGGCTCGATAAGTAAAACAAAGTGAATATAATATATCCCCGGGTGCCAAAGCATAATATGAGGATTTTACAATGCGAGAATCCATGAAAGCATAATTCTATGATTTCGCGAGCATAATCTGCCGGAGCCTATCCTGGGAATGCACGGTATAATACATGTACAAGTACAAGTACCTACAATGCTCTATTCCAGGGAGCGAGTGTGCACTCTACTGCCTGCAGTATACTGAGCCACTAAGTTAGAGGCACGTATATGTAGTCTTCAGAAACCTTCACCGTTCACAAAATGTAGGATTGCAACACGATATCAGAACAGTCAGAACTTGGTGCATTCTCTGGTGTGTTTCATGTATGTGCTGGTATGTAGATCATTTCATGGCTTGCTTCAAGTGTGAAGCAGACTCACATTAGCCCTTTCCCAAAGATGATATAATTTTTCGCAACTTATGCTTTTCCAGGCCCGTCGCACCGACTTTGGAGGTGGGGCGGCCATGGAAGGGGGGGACTGGGGGCCGGGAAAAAATTTCAAAAATTGAGGCCAATAGCAAGCATTTTCGGGTATTTGGTGCCATTTCAGTGTAACTACAAATTACAATGAAAGACTTTTTGATTCTGCAACAAGCCAAGAAGACGCTACGATGGTGGGGGGGGGGGGGGACAAGGGTTCTTCATTATCCTCCCCCGGGAAAAAATTCAAAAATTGAAGCCAATTGCAAGCATTTTCAGGCATTTGGTGCCATTTCAGTGCAATGAAAGAGTTTTTTGATTCTGCAATAAACCACGATCGGGGTCGTGGAAAGGATTCTTCATTATTTGCCACGTTTGGGCTGAGCTGCGATCTTCGCGCATACTGTTGCAGTGTGCTAAAAAAAACGGCCGAAAAAGTGGGGCGGCCTCATGACTCTTCTCTCAGCCTGCGACCGTGACGTCCTTGTTTTCGCAACCGTGTCAAAACAAGTGCTAGTTGCTGAAATCACATCCATATCTTCAGAAAAAGCTCAAAAGTAAGTGCAGCAAAGTCTGAGCAAACCAGTACACCCTTTCCTTCTGTGAACCACCATTTTACACAATGCCAGTAGCCTGTTGCATGTATCCTACATCATTCCAGTGCACGGAAAAGGGAATGCACATTTTCGTAACTACCGTTGATCTACCGTTTCTCTGAACTGAGTCTGAAGGCAGACGAGAAATGAGCGAGCATGTATTTGTCCCACATGTACATGTAGTCTGTGATTTGGCAATTTGACCCCATGCCATGGGGCCAAGGTTGCGGAAAACTTGCCAAATAGTTCGTGAAAATGAAGTAAGTTGCGAAAGGTGCGATTGCTTCCCATTAAAACAACGAAACGTTGCGAAAAGAAGTGGTGAGCATCTTTGGGAAAGGGCTAACTCACATTGCTTGAGATATTTTTCGTCACGTTTTCATAATGACCGATCCGCTGCTAGTCAAAAATCATCCCATTCCGTTTCGGGCATAATATTGTGATTATTTTCTTCACAATACAGTCATGCACCCGTAGTCGCACACATGTACGAAGGCATTAGTTGCCTGTTTGTGATGCGACTTGAATTAAATAGCAACAACACCTTCAGCGTCATAATTTCAGTGCAATGTACTTCAGACCTTGAGGGCCGCCAGCTCTCTCCTTTCAACGAAGAAACACGACCAGTACACAAACAATGAATGGTGGCTCTTTTCATTCGAGTTTATTTAAAGGGGCATGGAGTATTGGATGTGGCCGCAAAGGGCAGAATCAATGTATCTACACCACTATGACATCTTCAGAAAAGGCAAGCGGAATAGAGGTACATGATTATTCTGCTAACTGTATATATAGAACTAGCTGTGGAGAAGCTACTATGTAGTCTAAGAACATAATTATAGCTTGTAGATGCTGGCACTTACTCGGTACCACGGCAAAATGATGGAGAGATGATTGTTATTATTATTGCAAATAACGCTGAGTAATTACACGAATGCATAAAAACCAGCATTTGCTTCCGGGAAGGATTCACAAACATAAGACAAAAACACCATGGCTCAATGTAACTGCACATACGAAAAGCAGCTTCTATTGTCAAGTTCGAGTGGCAATGTCAGAAAGACGCGTTGCCACTCGAACTTGGAGAGTTATTTGCTGACCGCGAATAGCTTCGTCCAATTTAGCGGCGGCGGCGGCGACGGAGATCAAGGATAGTAGCAAGCACGTTTTCTACGCCTTCGACGGGAGCGTCATTACCGTTAATATCACCACCTCGAATGTATGGCAGCGCGCCACGTGGTAGATTGCCGTCAGCGGGGATCTCCCTTGGTGGTTCGGGCTCAGCATGATGGATTGGAGGGAAAAGGGACCATTGCTGTGGTGGAGCAGCCTTAGCATCTGCCATGCCGGAGAAGACACAAGCCACCAGGCAAATGGCGAGTGCCACTGCAGCAAGAAGAGGCGAGCACTTCATTCTTCCTGTTTGTAGATTCCAACGGCGGACGTCTAACAGTCGACGGGCAACGGAGCAGACAATAATTATTGCTGTTGGTAGTTCTCCTTCAGCTGCTGGCTTCAGGCTGGACGTTTGCGAATGCGATATCCTGGGAAGGCATGGGCTCTTTTATACTACACCAAGAGTCCATGCCTCCCTGGGGGGGAGGGGGGGAGGGGTACTTTTGACTTTTGACAACTCGTATACCCAATCCTAAATGGCTGGTTCACCCTAAAGACGTGTAACATTTGCGATAAACAGTGTAGGGCGTCTGCGATGACAGACCCCCGCAATGCTGGACAAACCCGTACACACAACCTGGAGGCTTCGAAGGGATCACTACACCTGTGTGGAATGCGTTATTGCGCACATGCGCGGGCCCCTGATCTACACCCTATGCAAGATAGCAAGAGTACAGTTTGAAGCAGGGAGTAGTACAATATTATTGTACTACTCCCTGGTTTGAAGTGACATGATAGCCGTGTGTACTGTCAGTCCGTGCGCCAAGGGGAGGTATATTATGGCACCGCAGGCCGCGCACCTGAGGGCCTTTCTGGAAGCCTTACTCGATCGGATAGAGCGAAACTGAGCTTATACGATAGGATCTCCTTGCTGGATTCTTGTCTATCCTTCTTGCTTCTCTTTTTCTTTATTCCTTTCTTTTCTTTTCTTGCCGTGGTTGGCTATCACCCCTCTCGCGCACTTTGCATGCCAATTGGTCATGGACCACGAGTTGAGTGAAATATATAAATAAATGAATAAGTGCAGCAAGGTCTGAGCAAACTCGTACACCCACCCCTTCCTGCTGTGAACCACCACTTTACACAATGCCAGTAGCCTGTTGCCTGTACATTATTCCAGTTCACGGAAAAGGGAATGCAGATTTTCGTAACTACCGTTGATCTACTGTTTCTCTGAAATGAGTCTGAAGGCAGACGAGAAATGAGCGAGCATGTATTTGTCCCATATGTACATGTAGTCTGTGATTTGGCAATTTGACCCCATGCCATGGGGCCAAGGTTGCGGAAAACTTGCCAAATAGTTCGTGAAAATGAAGTAAGGTGCGAAAGGTGCGATTTCTTCCTAAACAAAGAAAAGTTGCGAAAAAAGTGGCGAGCGTCTTTGGGAAAGGGCAAACTCACATTGCTTGAGATATTTTTCGTAACGTTATCATACTGACCAATCCGCTGCTAGTCTAAAAATCATCCCATTCCGTTTCGGGCATATTAATTATTGTGATTATTTTCTTCACAATACAGTCATGCACCTGTAGTCGCACACATGTACGAAGGCATTAGTTGCCTGTTTGTGATGCGGCTTGAATTAAATAGCAACAACACCTTCAGCGCC